AAATGTTACTACTACATCCCTCTGCTTTTTTCTTCTTCAACTTTTCACTTTGTGCACTTTACTCCCTTTTCTGCTCCATCCCTCTCATCTCATTTATTCTCTCCCCTGCAATCTGTTTCCTTCCTGTCTATCTCTCTTTCATATCTGTTTTTGCCTGCGGTCAGGGAAAAGTTCCTCACTGAGATTCAGAGTCCCCGCTATGCCCGTCTGAGGGATTGGCACCACGACAGGTCTGCTCGCGCCCTCAATATTAAATCCTGAGCGACATCCTAGACGCCCTGGGACGCAGAGCCCAGCCAGAGCCGGCTAGCGATAGCTACACTGCAACGACTACGTGATAAAGACGACGAAGATAGTGGACTGTCTCCTGGCAGTTAACAAATTCACCTCCTTAGATGCAGATGGACTGACAAAGAAATTTGGGGAAGCGAAGAAAGGCAAAAATATAAGAAACTTATCCTAGATGACAAAACCCTAAAGTGGAACCTTGCATACTGAGCCTAAGCATAAGATCTCCCTCTGAAATTCTGACTTGATGATTGTTGACAACACTGTGGACCATTGTGTCTGTAGCCCTATTTTCCATTTCACACTGCGTTACTCGGAGTAAACTGGTGGAAAGGTGGGGAGGGGGTCTCGGCGGTGGGAAGCACTGTTCTTTCTTCTTTGATTGTGAAGTTCAGACCCTCCTTTTGATCTCTGTCTGTCTCTTTTGCTGCCTGTTTACATTTATTGAGTTTTCATCTTTTAGAGTTCTCAGTTTTGATCCCCTCTTCTAATAGGCTTCTCGCACAATTTAAAGAAAAAAAACTGTACTTTTTTTTTTTTTCCTGCTGTCATCAAAAATATATAAAACATCTGGAAAAAAAAAGCAACTCTTGTTCTCTGTCCTTCTGTGTTTCTTTTCTTGTTTACTTTAAGCTTACAAGGGCATATCTCTCTAACAGTTCTTTCCTTTTTTCCCCTGCTGCCAAGTCACAATTGCTTTACTCATTGTGTGCTGGACAAAAAGTGATTATATAGAAGCGAGGCTTTATTCAGTATTTATGCAGGTTGGAATTAATGGGATGTCTTAAAGAGCCAGGTTCAAGGTTTACTTTTATTGCCCCTGAGAGAAAATTGTTGTGCATTCGGGCATAAAAAAACCCAACAAATGTGCATACTCATTTATAAAGTGCTGAGATGAACGGTGAGGAAAGTCTGTCTCGAGTTATTTGCATTTTCCTGAAATGCGAAAAAAAAAAAAAAAATGTAATCCTGAAGCGCTATAGGTTTTGACACCAGACTAAAACAAATGGGTTTGGTAGGTAATGACTTTTCATCAGTAGTATTTCTTGTAGTAATGTTTCTGGATGTATAAAATCCATAACATCTATAGTGAAGGACGTCTATAAATCCCATTTAAAAATGTCCACAGATGAGATGATTTAGAGCTTGAGGATACAGCTTTAAACCCTTTTGCTGTGCTCACACTCACACATCTGACTCATGCTTATACTTTGTTTCTCGTGCTGTCCAAACAAATCTCATGTCATGTAAGGGGTGTTATATAACATTAATAACTGCTGCTTTATGAGGGAGAAATGGTTGGTTAACCAACGCTGGTCCATAAACATCAAAATTCAGCTTGATTGGTCTGAAGCGCACAGACCCAGGTGGAAGACGAAGATAAATTATTAGCACATACTGACAGAGTTTTTATAATTTGGCAAATAATTCGTTTAACAAATGCAGCAGTAGTGAGGAGAGCAGATTTATGTAATGAGCTTGTAGCACACTCACTGGAAATGCCTTCCTGGTACCTGATTGGACCCAGTGTTTTCCTTCAGATCCTTACTACTTTGTGCTTATAGACTCAACAAGGTGCTGGAAACATTCCTGGGAAATCTTGGTCCATACTGACATGACAGCATCACACAGTTGCTGCAGATTTTTCTTTTGGCTGCAAATCTATGACGTGAATCTCCTGTTTCATCGCACCTCGAAGGTGCTCTGTTGGTTTGAGATCTGGAGGTCAGGTGATCTGGCCGTGTGAGTACAAGGAGAAAGCAGTTTGAGATGGATATGAGCCATCGGAAGATGAATAGTTTGTTCATACAGGACATGGTCAGCAACAATGATCAGGTAGGCTGTGCTAGAGGCCTCTAAGAAAATGTCCTCCACACTGTTACGCCACCACCCGGCTGAAGCATTGATACAAGACTGGATGGATCCATGTTTTCATGTCGCAGCATAGTCAGAGACTGATCAGTCCTGGCAACATTTTACCGGTCTTTTGTTTCCAATTTTTGGCGACACGTGCATACTTTTGTAAAAGTGCCTGTTTAAGTTGCTTGTTGCCTTCAACAAAACATTTTTGATGCAGAGAACTGCTGCTTACTGGATATTTTATCTTTCAGACCATCTTCTGTAAACCTCAGAGATGGTTTTGTGGGAAGTTCTGGTAGATCTGAAATACTCAGACCGTGCTGTCTAGCACAAACGACCATGATGAATTCAAAGAAATCTAAATTGCCTTTCTTTCTCTTTCTGATGCTCAGTTTGAACTTCAGCGGGTCATCCTGACCATGTCTACAAGGGTAAATACATTCCGGTGCTTCCATGTGATTGGCTGGTTAGTTATCTGGATTAAAGAGAAGCAGGTGTATCAAATGAAATGGCTGACAAATGTGTTTTAATGTATAGTGAAGTTGGAGGTATTACTAAGTGACTAATTAAGAAAAATTAGTGGAAAACTAGCTAGAGTAGGAATGTATCCAGACCAATGTGCTAAATTAGACAAGTTAATCGAGTCAAGCATCAACTTGTAGAGAAATTTCAACTGTAAGAGGATTTCAGAGGGGGAAAAAATCAATGTGTAAAAATATTACTTTATATCTGTAGAAATAACAGTAAGCAGGAAGATACTGAAGAAAGCTTTGTGCAAAGCTTAGATGTGAAGAGCCAATAGGAATGAGGTTTCTCATTCAGCCCTCCTAGGCATGTGCCACCACTGTCGCACATGGTTTTTAGTCACATTCGACTTCTTGCAAAGCTGCATCACCTTTACCTCCTCACTGGGTGGAGGGGTGACACATGTCAGAGGCTTGTTGCTCCATGAAAAATCAAAACCTGCTATTTCCTTTGCCGGATGCTGAGCTGCCAGCAAAGTTCTCTGCTTTCCTCGTTGCTCAGGTTGATGCATCCCACAGGAGTGGATACCCAAAAAGGGGGGAGAGAAAAAAGAGAAACCGGTACAGATGAATCTAAAATCAGAGCTGCAAAGGATGAACAAGAAAAGTGAAAGGAAATGCTCCAGTCAAAAGCTAAATAAATAAATAAAAAAATCCCGTCTGCACAACCTCTGATAGAGAAAATGTGCACCTGCATCATATCAAGCCTCTTGCTGAGCAGGGAGGAGGAGGAGGAGGAGGAGGAGGGGGTTTGAAAGCAGGGAAAATGTCAAGGATAACGCAATCTAGGCTGCTCCAGGTGGGAAGAAGCCGACATAGAGGTGTAGTGCAATTTGCACCTGCAACATTCATCATAGTGAGGTGCAGCAGAGAGAAGAAAGAAACCTCATGGTTGCGAGACAGCCGAGCCATCGGCCTTTCAACACCTACGGGCAGCCTGGCAAGGGAATGTAGCCGGGGCAGCGGTGTTGAATAGGAGTTTGTTTTGTCAGTTGTTAGGTGAGGTCCCAGATGTGAGGCTTGTCAGTGTGTCTGTGGAGTGGAGGGCAGCTGACCCATGGTCTGTGAGTCACACACGGGCAGAAACAGCCTCTGTCCTTTGTTTGACTCCATCAGCAGACATCCTGCTCATCCAGCCTTCTGACTTCCTCTTACGCATTTTTCTTTCTTTCTGCGGGTTCTTTGCAAAAATCTCATGGTAGGAGGTCTTGCTATCCTTAATTTAGAAAGATTTAGCTTTCTTACTGTCACTAGTCCTATAAGCCAGATTCTTGGTATTGCAAAGGGATTTAATGTTCTTTATTATTCCAGAAATGGCAGACGGCTTTTAGGCTTTTTTTTTTTTTTCTTGCTAGATTGCTCCTAGCTGTAACTTCTGCCTCTGTAGCTCCAGTTTTTTTTTTTTCTCGTGTATTTATGTTTGGCGACATAAATAACATTCTTTCATATACAGACTTAACCTGATAAAGGCACAACTATGGGATGAGGTTGGTGCAGGGTAATTGATTTCACAATCTTTCATTTTCTTTACGCTAATGAAAGGGGATTTCATCTCCTTTCATTAGTGTGTTTTAGATGGCACAGTTGATGATGTAAACACGATAGATGCCTAAGGTGCTGTTACAATCCCCGCCCGGTTCTTTTTCTCAAGATAAAAGTCTCCAGAGCTCACTGTCTTGTCTCAGAAGTTGTTTTTCTGTCTTCCGTCAAGATTTGAAGCTTTTTCTGAATATAGTGACGCTTGCTGCGGGTAACAGATCTTTGAAATGTAGAAAACGCTTTATTTCAACACTCCTGCACATGCAAGCTCTAAGCGAAACTCTTCCGCACCCAAATCTGAAAGCGACTGAGTTTCCAGTCGTCTAACTTTTGCCTAACTTTGAGCGACGTCAGCCGGCCTGAGGAGATGTTGGTGTTTCTTATGCTTTCATGAGAGGCTGCGGCTCTTGAACAGCAGGGCGATGACGCTGAAATCACGTTCGACTTGATTGATTTTTGAGTCATGATAGAAACTGCTCACTGTTGCTCTTTGATACTGGTGAAATTTCAATTATTGTGCTGCTTTCAGTTAAATCTAATACACTGAATCAGAATGTGTGATCACAACAGGTGGGGGCACCACGCTACCCTGTTAATCCCAATTAATATTAATAATGATGCTTGGAATCATTCACACACAAGGTAATCCGTGGCACAGCATAATGGTGACAGCTTAGCCATGGCAGGAGATATCCAAACATGGCATCCATTGAGAAGTAACTATAGTTACTAGGTGTGTGTGTGTGCGCGCATGTCTACCTTTTCTAATTAGTCATTTTCTCCCCACAGCCTTGAGCCAACTCCCTCACCTGCCAAGGCCCAAGCAGCAAATAAACCAGATGGTGAGTTTCTTCTCCTGCTGATGCGTTAAAAAGAGCCCCAGCAGCCTCCGGGAGAGGCTGCGCTAATCGATTCTAAGTCTTAAGTGTCAATACAGCAGCAACAACGCGACACTCAAAGTTGTCACCACAGACATCTGTTTGAAGGGTGGATTGTTATGGGATTTTTTTGTGGTGTGCAGAATCGACAAGTGCCGCCGCCGCACCAGAGAGTTCTGCTCCTTCCTGCCGACCGCCGTGGGTCTCGGACCCCAATTTTGCCGACCGCTTTCACCCAGACAAGGTCAGCACCGTCGTGACCCAGCACCAGAAGCCAGCCCAGCCCACGCCTATGCAGAGCCGCAGTTCCATCCTGCAGGCTGCACAGCAGGCGCCGGAAGACAGCGGGAGGACCCCCATATGTGGTGCCTGCAACAAAATCATCAGGTGAGGCTGCACCGCTGCTACACACAGGCTGATTCTTTTTTTTTTTTTTTTTTTTGAATTGAAAGTCTTTATTTGTTTATTTACGGAGCCCCGCAGGGGACATGGGAGAAAAAAATAGGAAAAAAATAAGACTAGACTTTTGCGAGATCTCGCAAAAGTTTTAGCCGCATTCTTCGGAGGCCGCCAGCTCGAAGCCGACCGGGAGGTCGAGGCACGATGTGCCGGGAAAGCGGTGTTCCTCCCGGCTGTAGTAGGTCTCGACCTCCCGTTAGCTTCGAGCTAGTGGGTGTCAGATCTCCAAAAACGTCGGAGCTCTTTTGCAAATATGTGATGTCTTGTAAACCGAGCAGGTATCTGACGTTTACACAACTACATTCACGCCTCAAAATATCTTAAAAGTGTATTTTGTGACCCAGAAAGAGTAATATTACAACTAAGTAGCTGCCGCCATTGTTGGAGTTTTGCGAGATCCGAGTTTGTTTTGCGAGATCTCGCAAAAGTCCGTCTTAATTTTTTTTTTTCTCCCTAATTTTTTTTTTCTCCCATGTCCCCTGCGGGGCTCCGTATTTTTAACATTTAACACCATAAAACAGAAAAAAAAAGAAAAGAAAAGCGCAATATGGTAAACTTTGTATTGGTATTTCAATATATACGGTACACCAAAAAAAAAGACAATAAAATCAATTCTTAAGTATTCCATTACTGAGTGCCTACACAAACATACAATGCAGCAAGCATAAAATTTAACTAAAGATAATTGCCCTGACCAAATAAATTCCAGCCATCTCAGCCAAAAACACGTCCCCATGATTTGTCAAAACCCTCCCTATCATCATTAATCCTAGCCAAGAATTTTTCATACGACACCATTTTCAGCATATTTTCTTTCCACCTATTATATTCTGGAGGAGATGGTTCCTTCCATACACTGAGAATAACTCGAGCCGCTGCGATCACCCCCACCTTTATAACCACAAAGTCATATTTTGAAACCCCAGGTAATACTGACCGATCCCCTAATAAGCACAGTCTTGGTGACAGGGGTATCATCAAACCAATCCACCTTCCTATTTTGTCCAATACTTTTTGCCAAAAGGGATAAACTTTCCCACATTCCCAAATAGCATGCATAAATGTCCCTGGATCTGAACTACATTTCCAGCATATATTACTGGGACTGATTCCCATTCTATAAAGTTTGGACGGAGTGAAGTACCATCTGTGTATTAATTTATACTGAGTAAATTTACCCCTGGCCTCTCTTATATATTTATCAGAGAATGACAAAATTCTACACCAGTCTTCTTTAGAAATTGCACAACTCAGATCTCTCTGCCATATAATCCTCAAGTTTTCACATATCTCTTTTTTTGGATTGTTAAACAGTTTGTAGAAAACAGCTGCTCTATGTGCTGTACTGGACAATTCTAAAAACTCCACCACCATATTTGAGCTTTGAGTAAATTTTCCTTTGGTAATACAATCCCTTATTTGTAAATATTTCCAAAAATTATTTTCTCTTATCAAACCATATTTTTGGGTTATTTCAACGAATGACATAAACACTGCCCCTGAGTAAAGATCACTTATCCTGTGTATGCCTTTGACAAGCCATTCCTTCCAGAACACTGTTTTTCGCCCAATCTGTACAGCAGTGTTGTTCCATAGCGAGGTATAAGGTTGTCTTAGATGAGATGCTCCACACATCTTGTGCACCTCTACCCAGACAGCTTTAGAATACCCAAGCACTGGGTTATTATGAAAGTCTTGTCCATTAATTGCTGAGCCCTGTGAGAGAACATCCAAGGGTGTAAAAGGGGCTCACTAGTTCCTGTTCGATCTTCATCCAGCTCAGCTCAGAGTCCGAACCTGTCCAGTGCTTGGCCAGTCTTGACATTTCAAAAGCTAAATTACACAACTTCACATTTGGGAGGGCCATTCCCCCAATGTCTTTAGAGGCCCACATTTTCTTTATATTCACTGTTGGCTTCTTGTTATTCCACAAAAAATCTTTAATTAACTTCTCAAATTGACTAAATATGTGTAAAGGAATTCTTACAGGTACAGATTCTTTTTAACTCGAGCGAGGCTCTCTGTGTTTGCTCCTTGGAGGCTCCTGTTAGAGATGACAATTTAAGACTCTTAATATTCGCGACACACTGCCTGTCTGCAGCAAATTAAGCCAGTCAGCATATTTCACAGAGTGTGGAGACATCTTGTTATCACTCAGAATAACAAAGAAACTCTGGTTGATATTCTGGTCACCATTGCAAACAAAGAGCTTTTATTCATTAATTTTTGAGTGAAGACTCAAATTCTGGAAAACCTAAAATTTGTCTTCAGCGTTTGCTCACATTTCACACAGTCTAGTGTATTTTTGCTGAGTGCCTTTGGATCTTTTTTTTCAGTCCTCTGTTGAAGCTTTGGATTATTTAGCCAATTTATATTTAAAAAAAAAATCCCTATTTATGTGTTACTAAGTCTTTTTTTTTTTTTTCTTTTCTCCAGGGGACGGTACCTGGTGGCACTGGGACGGTCTTGGCACCCGGAAGAGTTTACATGCTCACAGTGTAAGGCGGTCCTGGAGGAGGGGGGCTTCTTTGAAGAAAGGGGAGCCGTCTATTGTACCAAGTGCCACGATAACCGATACGCTCCGAACTGTGCCAAGTGCAAAAAGAAGATCATAGGGGTACGAGCTTCTGTCGTATCCAGCAAAATCAAAACAGCAGTTTCAAAGTTTTTTAAAAAAGTTAACCTTTTTCTCCCCCCCCCCCCAATCAGGAAATCATGCATGCACTGAAGATGACTTACCATGTTCAGTGTTTCAAGTGTGCAGCCTGCAAGAATCCTATCAGGAATCAAGCCTTTTACATGGAGGAGGGTGAACCCTACTGTGAGAGAGGTGAGTAACTGAATCATTGCAGTCCAGACGTACTATACTTCCTATATTGCATACCTGAGCAATCTAAATGCAAATGGTTATTGTGTAAGAGTTGGAGAAGGTACAAAAAACAAAGACCGAAACGGCTCTTTTTGGAGCCACATTCACAAACTGATGCTACTGCTTCACATCCTACATGAAACAACACCAATGCTGTGACACAGTCGATTGTCTTCCAAGGGCCAGGGGAGGATACATACAACTATTCTGATTGGTAGTGATGGCTATGATGTCCTCTGTTGTGTAAAATATGGGGTGAACTCACACCTAGTATAAAAAGCTGAATTCCAATTGAAGCTAGTGTGATTTTACACATCCATTTCCCCTATAGGCCAGCAGGGGGCGACGTCTCTCAGCTTGACAAAGAAGTCAGTTTCTGTAGAAGTGCATGGGAAAAAATGAGTGTACTTCTGTCTTGATTAATGAGCTCTGTAACCACTTTCCTAATGAGTTTTTCTTCTGAATTGCTAGTTTCAAGTCTTATTTAATACAGCTCAGTGTTCACTTTGTAAATTATGGTTCCATTTAGAGTAAAATAGACGATAAAGCAGGGCAAGCTTTAGGGCATCACTATTTCACCATTAACAAGTCGCTACCATACGAGCGTGCAGTATCCTGAGTTTGAGTCTGATCCAAAAACCATAACATGCAGTCTGTGCTTCAACTGTGCTCCAAAAGATGGTAAATGTCCGCCTTTCTTTTACGATTTCATCACTCTTTAGGACAGTTTGATTCCAGACTCGCGTGTCTGGTGAGAAAAGGTTAGTTTACTTATAATAAAGACCTCGGTCATGACCAAATGTGTAGTTCGACTGTGTTTTCTCTCAAGGACTCTGTTCATTCATTCAAACAATACAACACTGAAGGCTTCACAAAACATAAAGGCGTCACCATGGTGAAAAATCCTCTGCTGGAAATAAAAGCAGTCGCATTTATGTCGTTCTAAGGAACAGTTGCTACTACTACAACTACTAATAACTGCAACAATGACAGTAGTCAGTTCTGCTGAGCAGATGGAAGCACCCACAGAAACCTGTGCTTTAATAAAAAGTTTAATTCTAAACCCGAGTCCAAGCCAGATAGCATTTGCCTGAGCGTGCTGAAAATCCGAGTGTGCAGATCAATTAGTTCCAGCGCCGACTGAGAACATCTCGACTCATGTAAGACGCCCCGTGACTTCACACGTGGATCGAGCCCGATTATAAATCTGCACTGGTCTCAAGTCCACAGATGAGACAGAGCAAGCTGACACCCACAAAGCACGTTTTAAATGGATGCTACAGCTCGGCCCACGTCATAGACGTCGGGGTACAAAATCTTTAAATTCAGCCAGTGCATGAATCAGGTGTAGCGTGCATTTTGTGATAAAATTGTTTCCTCTCTACAGTGCATCCTCTCCAGTCTATCTGAAATAATTGTGATTATTTCCTTTGTAAAAGTCAAACTATTTCTGACACGTTTTGTCAAACATTTTAGTATTGCTGTGGGGTTTGGCAGAAACCTACATCGAGAGTCTCCTGGCACATGCCGCAGTCAATCATAAAGTGTGATGTTTTCATCTGCTGTAATCTATTTAGCTCCAGTTTACTTCATACATACCCCTATTGGGTTTTATGAATGGTGCGTGCTCTTCTATTATGATATAAATGACTTAGCGGGGCATCTGACGTGGATTGCTGCTTTATCAGAGGCGAAGCCAGAACCTGGGTACTCATATTCTGAATAATGCCTTCAGCTCTGATAAACATTCTGCTGCCTCAGCATCTTTCAGGGATTGTACAGCTCTCACCCACTCACTCTTGAGAAGCAGCATTATAACCTGACACCCCCCCACCCCGCACCCCCCCGAGTCCTTGTGATGAAAGAGACTGGCAAATCCAGTCAAGTATCTGGAGCAATTTCCACCTCATCCTAATCCCACCCCTACACTCTGGAAAGGCACTAATGTACAGTGGGTGGACACAATAACACAAACAGTATAGATATCAAATGGCCAATAAGAAGAGGAGCCGGCATTTGGCATCAAAGCAGCTCTATACGTCTTTATTTTACACCGTTCAGTCCCTTAAGTGGTTGCGTGTAGCGTGTAGTGAGGATTGCTCATCTCGGAGCGGCAAACAGCCTCCACTTCTTCTTTTAAAGATGAAAGATGTGGAAAAGGATTTCAGTCTCTACGGATCCTGTAAAGGTTAAGCGATGTTTACAAACGGCGATTGCGGAGGCCGGGGCGATTCCTTGGCCTGATGCGGGCAACGATAAAAGCTCTTTTGAGTTAAAAATGTAATCTTATATTCACCTTATCTTACATTTCTTCTGCTCGCCACCCCTCCTCCCCCTCCTCTCCAGACTATGAGAAGATGTTTGGCACCAAATGCCATGGCTGTGACTTCAAGATTGATGCCGGGGATCGGTTTCTGGAGGCCTTGGGCTACAGCTGGCACGATACGTGCTTCGTCTGTGCTGTAAGTCATTTTGATGGATATAGCTCCTTGTGGGCTCTCTTTGCCCCCGTATCTCGCAGCTGTCCCAGTACAATGGTACCTGGAGAAAAAAATTTGCCTCCATGTCTGGACCTCAAGCTTTCTCTCTCTCTCAGCCTGTCACCTGCAGTCTATCACTCTCTATATCTCTCTCATTCTGTGAAGAAAACTGAAAGCAAATGCAGTCAAGTAAAGCTTGCTCTGGCCACTAGAAACTGTGTAAATTCACATCAGCAGTGTTGAAGTCTGATATCTACTCTGCCCTCGTTTCCCAATCCGTCTCTCTCACTTTGTGTGTCTCCTTTCATCTTTAAAGCTCTGCCAAATCAACCTGGAGGGGAAGACGTTCTACTCGAAGAAGGATAAGCCCCTGTGCAAAGGCCATGCTTTTGCTCCAGTGTGAGAGAGCGAGGCGCATCTTCAGAAGAAGGAGCACTGCTCTCTCCCTTCTCTTTACCCCCTGACACTTCCGTAGACGCACCACATCCCTTCTTGCCACACACCTTGTTAAACTAAGTCCTTTCTCTCTGTGCTGCAGACTTTTTGTTCTTGAGGCTTAATGCTGGCTGCACGTACCGTCACTTTACTCTGCTGTTAGGAGACTTCTGATGGCACTGCCTCTAATGCCAAATGCTGTGTTGCATAACTGGAAGGAGTCGAGGAATTATGTCACGCCATCGGTAACTTTTTGACTTCCAAGTTGTTTTTAGGTCATGAAAAAAATGTCACCGCAGGTCACGTCGATTTGTAGTTGTTAGCGGAGTAATCTCCCGCCTCTGTTCTCCTCGTCCTTGTTAATTCAAGTCACCAACTTGAAGGAGTCATTGAGCCTCTAATAATCTCTCATATTGCAGTAATGATCAAGCAATTCTCTTGCACTAAGTGTAGTGAAGTTCTGGCCCCATACAGGACCCCAGCCCACTCATCGGCTCTCACTGCAGCGCCCTTTAATGTAATGGGGGGCCAGTCAAGCAGAAAAGGAGGTGTCCATTTCTGCTTGACTGGATCTCCTCCACAGAATCACTAACTACTTATTACTTTGACTCTGGCAAGTCAGAGCGCATACTCCAGCTTGAAGAGTCATTTAGAATGATGTAGTAATTAACCCATTTTTAATCGTCATACACGCGGGTGATGGAGATTGATTTTTAACTTTCCCTTTGATTTGACGTTTTTTTTTCTTTTTTTTTTTAAATGAGACAAAGTAAGTCTTTAAGTGTTCCCCATGTCACTGTGATATTCTTCCTTAGAGTACTTTCAAGTCACTGAATCTGTATTTATATTGCTTCAAAAGTGGCCTGTAAGTGTTGTTTTTATTGCAGCTGAAAGTTTCAAATAAAATTATTTAGTAATTCCATGTGCCAGGTCATTTTGTTTCTCTTGGAAACACTCCCATCTGTAACAGTTTTTAAAATTGTCAATTGCCATCTTTGCTCTTTTTTCCAAAACCCTGCTGAAGCCTTTGTATGCTCCTTATAAATATAATCAACAAAGTGATACTGAAATAAGTGGCATTTTATCTTAACTGGTAGGTAGCCAGGTGCTTAAAACATCATTCTTGCTGGAATAGCTACATTTTGTTTAGGTGAGAAGCTCCTCTTAAAAGCTTAGCATCAGCAGTGGTAGCAGTGGGTCAGCAGCTAGCCTGCAGTCCAGAGTTTAAAAAAACAAAAAACTGACGCCAAAGGTGAAGCTCACAAATGGATGTTTCTTGTTGTTTTTAAACACTCCTTGGTATAATGACGCATATCTGCAACTCTAAAGCGTATTATCTTCTTTTAATCTTTAACCATTGGAGAGCGCTAAGCTAGCCATTTGTACCTTAAGCTAGGCTAATTGTTACAGACTTTAGCTCAATGGTTATGTGTCATGGAGATGCAAGATGAGGGTCCTGAGATGATCAGAGGTTTTACAGTTCATGAAATGTTGCACACTTTTTTATTTTTTAAGACCAGTGGTCTCAAACTCCAGTCCTCGAGGGCCGTTGTCCTGAAACTTTTCCTTGTGTGCCTGTTGCAACACACCTGAATACAATTAGGTCATTCACAAGACTATAGAACTGCATGCTGAGGTGCCATTTCAGCCATTTGATTCATGTTACAGCAGCTCATGAGTGAATGAACATGGTGCAAAAAATGTACTTTTAGAAGTACTTTTTTTCAAAACCCTTATTTAAATTTACTTGAGTTGAGTTAGGGGCTGCCACCTCAGCATGCAGTCAAGTTCTAGAGTCTTACTAATGACCTACTGATTTTACTCAGGTGTGTTGGAACAGGGACGAATAGAAGCTCAAGGACTGGAGTTTGAGACCCCATTTTGGACCATTACCATTTAGAGAGGAATCCTCCAACAGCGTCCTGAAATTTTACAGCAAAATCTGTCAGGGAAAAAGATTTCCCTTGTGTATATATATATTTTTTTTCCATCAGATTCAATTGGTGATTCTGTTTGTTTATATCCTGGTCACCACAGAAATTAGTGAGTTTAGATACAGCTTTAAAGTAAATCCCCAGCTACGTGCCCAGAGGTGTTTTAAAAATGGATGCCAAGCTGTAAAACCTGCTTCTTTGTCTGAACCATGCATTGATTATGACATGTGCCAAAAATGTATCTTTGATCAAGTGAGCAAGTTCAGACTACGAAACATTTTAGTTTGAATATTTTAATCAGCTTTTCTGGCTCAACTTCAATGCAGGATGAGGCAGTAGACCAGTGGTTCCTCAAACTGGAAGACAAAGGATTATTGCTGGTGGGGTGTAGATAACCAGGGGGAAATATACAGATTGAAAATAAACTGAATAAATAATTTTTGTAGGGCAAATAACTTATTTGCTCTGAAACTCTTGGCTTTTGAACAGAGTCATTATAGTTCTGTTTTCTACTTATTTTGTTTGGAGTTTTCTTTTTTCCTGGTTTAGTTTGAACTTTCAGTGTTATGAGCTATAAGGAGGGTATTTCTCAAATCTAGTAAAATCAGCACCATTTCACAACATAAGGATTTTCTCCAGCTACTCCAGTTTCCTTCCACAGTCTAAAGCCATGCTTGTTAGCTTATTTGACCTTAGGTGTGAATAGTCATCTGTGTTAGCTATGCAATAGACTGGCGACCTGCCCTCAGCGTACCCTTTCCTCCGATGACAAGCTCCGGAGTAAGTTTAATAAAAAGGTGATGTACGAAGGTCATACTCAATGAGTCATACTATTCAGTGAGCCCTTGTGTGCGAGCACAGTCATCCTGGAAGAGACATCAGGACAGAAATGTTTCATCATAAGGTAAAAATGATGACTCAGTAGTGATTGACATTGACATTTCCATCTCAGGGGACAAGATGATCCAAACTATGACAGCAAAATTTCCCACACAGAACCACTGGATCCCTTCACCGTAGCAGGAAAGGCTCCAGGTTAATCAGCCAAAAAGCTTTGCATTTAATCCCATGGCAAGAAGAACAACAGACGCATTTCATAAAAGATCCAACTCTCAAACTAGAGACACCTTTTCAAGTAAAAGATCCAGGCCTTGATTTAACAATATATAATTTATTTACAACAATTTTCGGATTGAATTACTATACATACCTTTCTGAAATGTCATAGATAGATATATATACATAAGGCCAAGTAAATACTTGAAAGCACTTAGAAACGAATTTCCAAAATTCTACCCACAAATCCATATCATTGTCCAAAAAAGTACAGAAAATCTCCCTTAGCAGAAGTTTTTCCATCGCCACAAAAGTTTCGACAACAATTTACATTAACGATAGGGAACACAAAAAAAGGTTAAAAACAAAGGAACATAAAGGAGGATTATACAATTGCATAAGCGCTGTGGCATGTAATAAATACAGCATTTTTGACTTGCAGAAAGGCAAGGAACATTGAATCAAGGAACTAAAGAGAAAAAACCATTCACAAGTACAGAAGGCTATTGTTCTTACTTCAAAAAGAAAACAGTTTAGTAAGAGTGACGGGGAGGTATGCACACACCCAATCTCTCTCACACACACACTCAAATACATCCTTGACACTGAATAGTAATGAGTGACACAAAAAGTACAGTGCTGAGATGTTACATTTCTCCCCATAACACAGGGGTGAACTGACAGTATAAACCCTTGAACAAAGCTTGTATGTTACTGACACATACTTACACAGAATTATCAGGCCTGGGTTTTCTCTCAAACTGTATTCATCGCACACACACGCGCACACACACTGAGTCATAGCAGAATTGTTAGATTTGTCGGATGAGCTAGATGTGAAGATAAGATGCTCAACATCCTGGCGGCTGGTGAATTACATTACTGAAATGTGCTTAGGCAACATATCCAAGACGATGACGGAGGGGGGGTGAAGAAACACACACATGCGCTCTGACTGTACAGCTGCCGTGGCTCATCTAAACGTGCCGAACCGACGCCCTCACTCTCCAATTAGCCACGCAGCCCGCGCGGTGACTCGTTAAGCACAAGTGACAGTTTCCACCTTGGATTTTTAAATGCTTAGTTACAGAAATCATCAGGTGCGCAGAGTTAAGGACGAACAAAACGTCGACAGAAAGCTTTCCTGTGAAACAGTCTCGAAACCCTTAACACTGCAAATAGTCTGCTAGATCGCCAAACAACAGTATATAGGCAAACACGTCACGGTTTTAGACTTGACAAATGCTGCGCCAGTTAAGTGTCTTTTTTGGCTTCATATTAAAATATAATTTACATTTGTTTACAAAGTGATAAGGTGACACAGAGTACTGCGTAAACAAACTGCATTGAGATGCCTTAAAATGAGGGGAAAAGGAAAGACAATGAAAGAGACAGCTACTCTAGAAAACAGTGGATTCGTGGACACAGCGTGAGGATGCGGTGGCCCTCGAAATGATATTCAGAAAACTTTGGTTAACAATTCTGCTGATATACAGTATGCAAAGTGACAGCACACGGCTGGTATAGAAAAGTATTTACAAATTATGCACGGCGATCTGATTCAACGTGAAAAGATTTTGAGTTTCTGATCATTTTCACGGCATCTTTATATAAACTGGTAACGGGACTCTGAGGGGAGATGTGGTTTAACGAGATGGGTTAAACGAGCAAGGCGATGGGCGACGGTATAAAAAGAAAGTCAAACTTTCTGCCTGCTACAAGGAAACTAATGTACATTCCAAAAAATCTGACAATCATTTCATCTTAAAGGTTAAAAACCATTCGAGCCCGCAGGATTGGGCCGTCCTCGCTGTTTGAATGAAAAGGGGCGGGGTTTTCATTATAGCTTTGAACAGACAACTTCACATGCAACCCTGAGGCAGACATAGAGAGAACCTATGGCTAGTTTGGGGACTGCTCACACCTCACCGAAGGAAAATTGCTAAACGAGAATTTTTTGTGTTTGTTTGACAGATTCGTTACGAGAAAAAGAAAAATACTGTTAGTGAAATACGACAGAATGCAAATGCGCCGCTGCACTTTATGGATTTTTGCATGAATCTATTGGATAATTGTTGCTGTCTGGATACAGATAGCCAAAAAAATTTCTTTCAAAGCATCTATTTGTGAGCAGAGGGGGTGACATTATGAAAAAGCTGCTCTTTATATTATCTGAGAGATGGGCTTCTCTCTGATGTGGAAATACTGTTTGCCACACAGCAAATGCAGAATTCCCACCAACATTGCTTTATGAATAATACAAACAAAGCTGCACAATTACCCTTTCAACATGAGTAATCTTGTGATGATTTTGAAGAATTTGTTGTCAGATTTTTCTGAGGGAAAGTGCTCTACATAATTCATATGGAATAATAACCCTTCGGGCCATGTTTTTAGACTACAAAAATCAATGTAATCAAGAGGAAAATGTCATTTTAGAAATGAGCTTTGACGACATTCAGCAGACACGTGCAGTCGGCGTGCCTCTCGGCCCTATGGCCTCTTCATTAAGCTGTGGAATTTAAAACAGAGAAACGCCACGATGAACGATTGGGGTAATATAAAATGTGGAAACCTTATGGATCAAAATCAGAAGGCTTTAAATAGAAATTTCCTTTAAAATATGACTTTAAGTCAAGATATTAATCACTTCAAAAAAAAAAAAAAAAAAAAAAAAAAGAATAAAAAAAAAAAAAAAAAAAGGGATCCAGAGAACTCAAACCTCACATATATCGATTTAAAAGGAGGAAAAGCTCCAAAGCGTCTCACTGGATCAAGATGTTAGATTCACAATAGTGATACCGGCTGGACTACAACACACACAAACGCACACACAAACTACATGAGATGGGTTTTTGGGGGGCTCAGACACACAATCTGTTTTTAAACCAGCAAGTCCAGAATCTGCTACAAGCCGTCTGTGTGTTAAACAGATTATGTGACTCACACACGCACACAGTCTCGCTAGGTTGCTTTAAAATAAAATAAAAAAGGTAAAGAAAAAAAAAGTGGGCTAATCTTCTGAGTTGATGTCATGTGACGAACCTGCCAATTGCATATGTTGCTGGTTCTCTTTAACCTGAAATGACCTGCACCCTTTTTTGCCACTTTCCTTTTAACTGACTGTTTAAAAACACACGGTTTTTGAATCCAAGTTCAAAAATTAACGACTGAATTTGCAATATTGGCCATTACTAATAGCGTTACATTTGCATATTGCTCCTTGTTAAGCCGTACGCGGCCTGTTTAGAAGAGTTAATTTGATGTTACCTTTGCAGCAGAACTAGGGTATGGACTAATTTAACTTGGGTCTTTGATGGGAAATAAAAGGTACTTTCTCTACTGAGTCTGTGAATACGTTTTCCCCAAACACACACACACCCAAACTCTACCCCCTTGTTCCTCATTTGGTCTGTCATTTAAAGATTTTTACTGTGTTTGATGGGAAATAGGGACTCAATCCTACATAAACACTTTCTTATCTTCTAAAGTGAAGAAAAGGAACGCTGGGACAGCTCTGTTCTTCGATTCCCGCTGCAGTTATTGTTTTTTATGTGTGTAAGAATGCGTATTAGTGTATCACGTTGTGTACTTTTCCTCGGCACCAGTCTGTCCCTCTTTTCTAGGTTAGCACTCGCCATCGGAGACCAGGAATATCATGGCTTCCTGTTTGCCGATGTCGGCCATGACCGTGGCCAGCTGGTTGATGTTGCCGCTGTGGAAATGTTGCGCCTCCCATAGGTCCAGGATCACAGAGGTTGGGCTTGCTTTGGATGCAAAGAAACTCATGTGTCTGCGGGGTGAGAGAGAGCAGAGAACACAGAAAATTAATTAAATCAAGCGACGCGCGCACACATCAGAAAGCAGAGCCTCTCATTTTCTCTCCACCTAAAGAGTGTCAGGAAAACCTTTCACCGGGTATTTTATTGTGCTGCCTCTTCTTCTAACTCTGTCAATGTCAGGTTTTATTGTGGGTTATATTGCTACATCCTGATATCTAGTGTCGGCGCACTAAGTAAAAAAATGATAAAAGCTACAAGAACACAGTCGGAGCTCTCGAAACTGCCGTTACGTACAGACTCTCTAACAATTCTCATTTGAAGCTTAACTCCACAACCCTCATTCCCTCTTTATTTGATGTTGAAATTGGCCCCAAAATCCCATATAGTAAATCCTATATAGACTTTCACAGTTAAGTCGGAAGTGACCTTTTCTATTTTGGGAGCAGAACCTTTACGATCAAACCCAATCAATGACAACAAAGCAGTGGCCCGAGTCAGCTGGATATTTGATGTTGAGTGGGACCTTATCCCCGCGGTAGCCGAAGATGCTTGTTTGATTAAATGGCATTTCTCTGTTTTTCCAAATGTCCGGGGCTTTAACTCTTATGTAGAACCCACATGACATTAAAAAGGAGAACGATGTAAAGCACAAAGAATCACCGTGCCGTGTGGGTGTTTCGGTGAGGGGGGAAAGGGGAGACAGGAAAATGCCACCGAGCCTTTTTCACCTTGAGAAAGGTCAGACGGAGTCAGACTTCCTCGTGTGTTTCTGTTTGTCTGGTGAAGCATTATGTGGAGGTTATAAACACGTGAGTGCAGCGGTAGGACACAAGCACCGGGAACACATCGTCACCGTGCTATTTTAAGTCAATTGGATTTTATAGAACGTGAACGGCTCTGGCTCTGCATCAGGACAACGCAACAAAGAGGAGCGTTGGTCAAAAAAAAATAAATTCTTTTGGGAATGAACCTCTGTGTCATTATTAAAGTTTAAAAAAAAGAAACAAATGTGTCAACCCTGCTTATTCACCTCGCCGCGTGAAACAAGAGCTTATCTTGTATGGCTCAGACGCAGCCGCTCGCACCGTCCTGGGAGAGAAAGATCAAATAAAAGGTTCTTGGCATTTTAAGTTTTATTGATTGGTCCCGTTCCGCTCGGTCTGAACACTTTACACGCGCAGAAACAAACACAGAAATGCAGCATGACAGAATGCCAAGGAGCTGCAGCCTTTTGAGGAAAACACGTTGTTAAGGACAGATCAAACAACGGAGCAGTTGTTCCTTCCTGAGGTCTAAATGAGAATTGATTATGTTGAGCAAAACATTGCTAATTAAACCTGTAGTGCATCAATTCAATTTGTGATTAATTGGGGTAAATAAAAGTTGATTGGACAAATTAAGTGTACCTATTTGATTTCATTACCAGGTAGAAATTAAATTGGAGGATAAGAGATCAATGTCCGACTACGCTCTTGTTACAGGTGCTTTGGTGATAGAGTACAGTAGCTGTGAGAACGAAGTGGTCGGCACAGATCCAAACCTATTCCAACTTTACCCCCCCCCCCCCCCCCCCTCCCCTCCCTGCCGCTGATGGGCAGCTAGCTCACTGCATTTCCAATTACAGCTGTTAAGCAGAATGTAGCAGGTAGAAGTTTAGCTGCAGACTTTAAGCTTCTTACCTGTTTCTGAGGGAGAAATGAAGAAGGGGGTCATGTTTTCTTGCAGAAATGATAGCTGTATCCATCAAGTCCGCATTAATCCTATAATACTAGCTGTGTCAAAAGAGGATTAGCTTGCTAAAGCATTACTCTGTTTACCTGAACTTTAGGAAAAACACTCCGCTGAGGTGAATCACTCCACACCGATTGTGCTTGATTACTGAAATTTCACTGTTTTTCTGCCAACATCTGTATTAGTACATCTCTTTACTATCATTATTTTGAGTGAGCTGTATTCACATATTGTGCATAACTCTGCTGTGAAACCTCACTTCCAAGAGGTTTGGATAAATAAGGCTCATCAGAATTTCTTCAGAGCTTTCAAAGCTAAGCCGCCGGCTCCGACATGCCTTGACAACGATCAGATCAGCAATCAGATAAGGCGTTATTGTAAAGCTGATCTTTACCTCTCGAGTTTAAGTCTTTGTGCTAGCATTCTCCAGTCGGCTCCGTTGGGACAGGGGGCGTCCAGGCTGCTGCAGATCTTCTGCCTGATGAGGTACGGGATCTGAAAGGCGCTGGGTCCCGCCAGAGCTGTGGCGTTACTGTCCATTAACAGAAACTCAGAGTCCAACGCTCGAGTGTCCTGGAAAGGAGGGGGGACAAAAAGCCACACAGGTTTTCTGAGCTCAGCAGAAAAATCATCTCCTTTACAAATACCCAAAATGATAAATAGTAGCTGCGGCATAATCAACCGCAGCTTTTAAGTGAGCAGAACGAACGTTACCTTGGCAATGTTAAAGTCCAGGCTAAAGCTCTGTCCCTCCCCCTCCACCTGCCACACACACAGCTGGCAGGTGAGCTCGCAGGTGCTGAGGCTGAGCCGCTCCAGAGTGAACGTGCAGTGCAGGTACCGCTGGGAACCGTTCCAGATGTGGTAGAACGGGATCTCCTGCAGTAGAAGAAGGAGGAAAAAAAGAAGCACATGCAGCAGCACAGTCAGAACTGCATGTCTGAAACGCGCCACAACACGACCGCCTGCCTAGAATACACTGAGATTATCATTAATTACACTGACATAAGCTGTCATCATTATGGCTAAGTATATCTGAGGCAGCGGAATGACAACGTTCAATTAAGTTAAAGGGAATAAATGCGCTGTTACTGACAAATAGAATCTTTAATAGGAGTTAAGAGCTGCCAGCCCGACTCTGCTGATAACAGAAGAAATCAAACTTTGGATTTTAATAGATTACACACGCAATCTGTCACGCTGGCAATGGAAGCATTTTTTTTTTCCTTTTCATCTATTTTCATTAACTTGCTTTAGCTTTGTACTAACTTTCAGGCAGATATATAAATGGTGGCGTTAGTGTAAACGCTGAAATATCACACCACTACTTTAAAGCTAAAGCACATCACGCGGCGAATGCATAAGCATACTCAATAGCTCTGAGTATTGCTGCTGTATCGGCTTCAGCTTCTGTCTAGCAAACGGATACCAGGGAGTCTTTGGGAGAATGCATTTGAGGCTGCAATTTCTACCCCCTCTCTCGTCTGCTGCATATTCATGACTTGTTTGCATAACCCAGGAGAAGCACTGTTGTAATGCTGGAGAAAGAGGGGGGAAAAAAAAGTGCACACTAACTCCTCGCTTTACCCGAGTTCAACGGCTACCAGGGTTCTCAGTCGAAAAGAAGTGTGGCCTGCAGCACATCCTACTAACCAAATGGGGGCACTGTTACCCAGGCAGACTGGCAACAGAGCAGCCGAGTGAAACACACAGAAGTCTTCATGGGCCCCAGGGAGACTAAAGGCCTTTTTGACTGCACTGCTGAGAGGGGAATAACACTTCCAAATGAACAGGCACAGTCCAGAGGAATAAGCCTCTGTTCTGGGTGCATTGTTGCCGCCTTGCTTGCTTGGCACAGTCTGCATGCTCTCATTGGGGACCCGGTACTCAATGCTCACATAGTTACAGCCAGAACATTTTCTAGTCCTGGAACATCCCTTGTGTGTGCATACGTCGGGCTGCAGTGTAACTGGCCACGCGCAGGTGCGGGGAGTGCAGTAAGGTGGAGCCGATCCAAAATTCAGGTTGCAAAGTTCGAGATATTTACATACTGCTCTATATTTCATACCAGCCCCCTTTGAGAGAGCGACAGCTAGTATAATCAATCAGCTTGCAGCCCTGAGTTAGTGCACGCAATTCAGCTCCTCTATGCACATGTATACACTACGTGCACACTCGCAGTCTAGGCACAGGGGTGCACACACCCCCAAAAAAAAAATAAGTAGAAAGGTTCCCTCTACTCTGACAAATGACTAAGTTCCAAAGTGTGCCAAGAACAGAAAAGGTTATTGGACAGCAGAGTCCTGCAGTAACAGACTTAGAAACACTCCTTTGTGTGAATCTTTAAAGTGATCAACTGAAGCCAAACCAAAACATGCTTAATTAACAAGTCTGGCCCAACTCTAATGAAAAACAACTTTCCAGAGACATTAGGAGACCATGAAGCCTCATTAACAATAAAAAAAAGTTTCTCCCAAATACCTTCTGAATAGTCAGTAACTTCTTAACTTTTGTTAACATGCGTTCAATTTATTTTTTACTTTTCTGGATGGCTAATTTAGACTAACAAACGGCATAGATTTTAAATTGAGCTCATAAACAAACACATTTGACGGCCTTATTACTGCCGGTAAACAAATTTAACAGATTCGGCCAGGCACTTGTATTAAATCTCCTTACTCCCGCACTGATCCAGAGCGACTCCCTGCCCCTGCAGCCCCTCAAGGGCAGCCCAACGCACCTGGTAGCCGGCTAGCAGCTTGCTCCTCCAGTGCGCCTGGGGCATGTCATGGATGGACAGGCGCAGGTTGTGGTAACTGTCTTTGAAAAGCAGGACGTGAGGCTCGTCAATCAGCCGACCCCCGAGCTGCCGCTCCATCTGCATCACCTCCTGATCAAAGAGAAAGAGGCGAGAAAAGGTGTCAGGGCTCGGGGATGAGGGGGGGAGGTACATTTACCAACACACTCGCAGAGGTAAGTGAAAACGTGTAAAAACAATCCATAACTGTTTGCTGTTTACACTTTGTCTGGTGCATCACTCACGCACACAAAACGGTACCGCTTTGGAATAAAAATGTATCAGCGCACACACACACACACACACACACACGTCCAAAGAAATACACAAAGACATGGTGGAGACACTGAATAGATTTAACTCAAACAGAGAGATACACACAAAGGCCTGTTTGCGCACACACACACACACAGCATGAGCATGAGGCAGGGGTACAGTACATCTGAGGAAAAGAAGATAGTGTCTCTGCGTGCGGCCACAAAGGACTGGACCGACTCGTCTCCACGGTGCTTTAATGTCATCGCAAGGTTGATCCTCTGCCTCGGTTTGTATATGCCAGTGTTTTCTGCATCTGCATTAGCATGCAGGAACTGCAGCCATTCCCAGCCTACTGGCTACCTGGGCTGTGATGAAGTAAGTGAACGAGCCATTAGTCAACTGCTCATTGTTCTCGCATGGCGAATCTCCTTAATTTCATTTTTGTTTTTGTGCCAGTAGAGATTTGTAAATGCATGCTTAATATTTTAATCTCTGTGGGACTTGCTCAGTGGACCATTTGTTGCCATCCAAATGACCATCTGGAATGGGATGATAATATCCGGCACATTTGCCTCTGATTTATCAATTCGCTTTGAGCTGGATGCTTTGTGCTGAACATGTCCTCAGAAATCCAGCGCTTTGGTTGCCATTCACATGTGCTGCCTCATACTCCAATCACAGGAGCATACTACAACAGAGAAAACAGGCCTCTGAAATTAGTGGTGTGAAAAGACCTCCAAAATAAGACATGTTCTTTTAATCTGTCTGAGGAGGGGAAACAAGATGGCAGCAGAAGGAAAACAGTCAGCCCGGGCGCTCCTCGGAGTCGTACCTCAAAGACAACAGCTCCGAGAGGGCGAAGTGCGTATAGATGGTTGCCATATGTTGAACGCTGCATGCCAGCATGGTATGAGTTCAGCAAAGACATCCAATTAAGGTGGAGAATGGTGGTAATTTCTATCTGCACAACACTGATTCAATTTTCTGCCCTCTTTCCCAGGAACAGGCTAGACTGATTCCAATTATAATGGAAAGAAAGCTGTTAATTATCCATTTGGAATCTCTACCTGCGTTATTTCATGTGCGCTCCCCTTTGACGAATGAGCAATTTTTGGTTCAGGCCGACAATTGAATTTCACTGTTTGTTCGCCGCATTGTTAATTTCCATGTTTGCTTTGTGCTTATCTTCTTGTTAACGTGATTATTATGCCCCTTGTGATTATCTAGATTGATTCCCGAATTTGCATCGGTTTACCTTTTTTTTTATTTTTTATTTTAAACCATAAAAAAAAAAAATCTAAAATGATCTGAATGTATGCATCTAGCTGGAATATACTCCTCCATGCTCTGCCAGACAAGAGTCTTGTGATGTTACCCAGTCCACTTACTCAGAGAGGGAAGGTCAGACAATGGCGCTGAATCAAAGCGTCGAGGTCTAATGAGTTAATAACAGAGGGCAGCGCGTTCTCCACAGAAAAGCCCTCTGCTATTATGTCTCTTACAGATACAAAAGCCACATTATGCGGGCTTCCAGAGAGGTTCATTTAAACAGTTCTTAAGCACAATTATTTGTTGGGCGGCGATTAGCATTGCAAATTGGGTGTTGGACTTTGATCAGGTTTTGACCTATAGAACAGATCTATAGCCCCGCTAGCAGCAGAACGAGTGCAGAATGCCAATTATCCTATTATCAAATGTGGCGACTAGAATGAATACTAACTCGAGCCGCCTAGCAGCACGTCAGGTTCAAGGCCGGCACACTGGGATTACAATCAAAACAGGGTCTGGGACATGATTCTCTTGCTACCTGACAGGGACACTGAGGGGGAGGAAGGGGGGGGGGGGGGGGGGGGGGGGGAGGCCTCCTCTGCACCCTGGTGACATACCCCTACTCCAAGGCCCTGCATGTGTGGGGGGTTGAACAACACGGGATGATGCATTTGCTCCTTTAAAGTGTGCTCATGTCCTCGCTTTCAAAATGACACCGTCTCGCCCGCATGTTGTTTGTGTGCGTCCGAGTGGCTGTGACTGTGTGTATTGCAGAGTGGCTTTTTTCTGCAGGATTTCAGCATATGTTCTGGACTGAGAGAATAATGGCCCTCTTTACGCCCCATTATCCTGTTAACAAATGACAGTGTGAGCGAGCTAATAGATGAGAAGCTAAATTTGACCGTATTATTTACTCTTTCTGGGAGGAAAACAATGCAAGGTTTGGAATTAGTTTATCAAATCACATATTAATCATGATTGCACCAGCTCAGTTTTGTTTCCCCCAATTCAGGGGAATATAATAAGAGCTGTTTTCTCCTAAGGCGCCCTGAACCTGTACAGCTATGGGAACATTAAGATGCATGAGATGGGCAAGAAGTTCAAGTACCGCAGGAGAAAAACCCCTTTTGTTCTGACGGAATTCGAGATAGCCTGGGGTGTGTGTGAAGACTGTGAATTTAGAGTCAGGCAAAGCCAAGACCACCCCCTGACATTCAATGAGGCTGGCTAAAGAGAGTGAGATAGAGCAGGGAGGAGTGAAAAGAGCAGGAGAGGAGAGAGACAGAGGCAGCTTAACATTTGTGTCTCCAGGTCACTAGAGTGGCCAGCTTTAGCAAGAGAGATAACAGGATTACTGCAATCATGGCCACAGTTTTCTATGACTTCAACCCCCTTTATACGCTCACTCATGTCCCCCCACCCCACTCTCCACCCATCTCTTCGGCATGGACCAGAGCTGGGACTGTAATGGACTGGGGGCCGGGCTCCACCAGGAAACAAGAGACACTCATACAGCTAATCTCTCCGGGCTGGTGATGACAGAAAGAGGTTAGTGGCTGCACCGAACGCTCTCCTGCGACAGAAAAGAACAGCCAGCCTTGGATGCCGGGTGGAAACACAAACGAAACAAATCAAAGTATTAGCAGAGGCGTATATATTAAGAACCGGACTGGCACGAAGCTGCAGACTTTCCCCTCACAGCAAGGCCAAGCTGCTTCTTGTGGCCTTGTGTTGTGCCGGCTTTGTGTGTAGCAAACTGATTAACACAACCAGCTCTAATGGAGATTATGAGTAGCCTTTGATCAGTTAATTAGTCAAGCTACATGTCATCCGAAACATGGAGCTATACATGCACACGGGCGGTAATATCCTCATAAACTCGTCCTCAGCCCCTCACTCTCGGTGGCACGGTGTCATCGTGTTTAAAAATGTGCATTCATAGTGAATATCCATTTTCAGAGCTGCTCTTTTCAGGCAAATGCATTTGTTTATAGAGAGTAGCCTGGCTATGTGGGCTCCATAAATCTGTGTATTTGTCAGCAGGATGTGACAGGCTTTTCCTCTCTGACTGAGAGTCTATCGGTCTGAGCTCCAGTGGCCGTGCCCGCTACAGTCAACTCTGATTAATAACTACAAATAGAAGGGACTTGTCTGCTCAGTTATAAATGGGGACTGTGTTTGCAAGGGAAAAGATGCGCATTCTGCTTAATAAATCACAGAGCAGGACGGGAGAAAAAAGCACACAGGAACACAGAAATATAATATGGAAACAATTTCTCAGCTGGGCTCAGTGATAAAGCTGACTGTCTTGTTTAACTTAATGCCAGCAATTACTGGGCTATGCTCTTCTGTTTTTCTTCTAGAATTTGTTGCCAGTAACTTTTGTAATGGAGGGATCAGAAAAAAAAAAACAGTTTGTATTTCACTCCGTACATGCTGCTTTTCTCTTCTCTGTTACATAAAAGCTAAAAAGTTTCCGCTCAAACATGGCTCTCTGCTCAGCAGCTAGCAAGGAAACGTCATAGTGGGAGCACATAAACAGTTTATGAGCCCTTTTTAACGCAAATAAGAATCATTGCTCGAGGTCAAACACTGTACAAAAAGAATCCAGGGGCCACTATTTAACCAGCAAGACATCAATTAAACACCCATTTAAATCCTGGAACATACATTTCTACAACAGGGAGACAGAGAAGCTAAATGTATTGGACTCGTAAGGTGTTACTGATGAGGGAGTAAATCTGCAGTTGGAAATAAAACACCAGGAGTACAAAGAGAGTTCACTTTTACCTCAGCATCTAAAAACCACATAAAGGTACAACAATGATTAATTAGACAAACACCTGTATACACGTGACACACAAGATAAGCCACCCCTTGTATCTTGGCAACCGTGCCCTTTTATTGCCAGGCAGCCATTCCTTTTGGCACCAGTTTTAATGTCTGCTACATCTAAGCAAATTTATCCGAGTCAAAAAGTATTTATGATGCTTTGTTTTTTAAGATGATCTTTTATGTTGGTGATCTGTCAACTATTTACTTCAATTATATTTGCACGGTGCCAACAACAGTTGCCTCAAGGCACTTTATATTGTAAGGTTAAGAGAAAACCCCAATAGTCAGATGACCCCCTTTGAGTAAGCACTTGGTGAAAGTGGGAAGTAAAACCTCCCTTTTAACAGGAATAAACCTCCAGCAGAACCAGGCTCATGGAAGGGGAAGTCATCTTCTGTAAACAGTTAGGGGTGACAGGACGAAAGACATGCTGTGGACGAGAGCCAGAGATTAATAATTACCAATGATTAAAGTGGTGTATAAACACAGAGTGTGAAAAGGGATAAGAGAAGAAGAGATGCTTAGTGCATCATGTGAATTGCCTAGCAGCATAGGCCTATTATAACAGGCAATTACTACAAAACAATGCAAACTGTTAAGCTCAATATCAGTCTGAATTGATAGCGGTTATGGGAAAAAGTAAGCATCATGCCAGGAGTTAAACTGAGCCAGCCAAGTTACCCTACCATAAGATACTGAAGTTATTTTAAATCTAACTCCATCTTGTATTTCAGTGCAATATTACACAACGTGTTTAGTTTATCACAAATTTATTTTAGCTACTAAGTATTTTTAATAGGGAAAGTGTACAAGTACACCAAAATCATCTCTGATGAGAACCTTGCACTAGATTATAATCATATACACTGCCCTGCTCGAAGAAACAAGTCCCACTAATATTTCCCTGGATCATGTTTAGACTTATTTACAACATTTATTTCTGTCTAGAGATGCATTACTCTTGTGCCAAGATCTTGTATTAATGCTGCGAGAGTCAGACTGTTGCGTAAAGTCTTCTCTAGCCCACGCCAAAGATTCTCAATGGGGTTAAGGTCTGGACTCTGTGGTGGCCAATCCATGTGTGAAAATGATGTCTCATGCTCCCTGAACAGCCCTCTCAAGATTTCTGTCCGATAAATCCTGTCACTGTCATCTTGCTAAACCTTGAGTGCAATGGAAGGCTGTTGCCTATTTGCTTAAATCCAGGTGGTGACCTTTTTTGTGTAGATATAGGGTAGGTCCCAGTTTTTCATGTGGAAGATGGTCAGTTTAACCGCAGGTGGCATACTCTCTCTACTTTTAAGATTAGGCTTAAATTAAAATTTTCCTATTTGATAAAGCATACAGTTAGGGCAGTATCAAGTGGCCATGAATCCTCCATTACTTACCCTGTAGTAGGTCTAGGTTTATTGCAGAGGGAAGAGATTTTCTTCTTCATTTACATTTTTCATTCTATGCATAGATACACCACTTTGCATTTAATCATTGGTTATTGTTAATCAACTAATAAGCAGTCTCACAGTCAGTCCCACCCCATCTTATCACATCACGGGATTTCAGAAACTAATGGGTGATTATCAAGGCACCTGGGTCCATTTTTTATACTGTCTATTGGCATGCTAACATACACAACCTAAGCAGCATGTTGTCGGCAGGACTGTCCCAATTAACAGCTGCTCCAGCCATTGTGGTCTTTGAAGGAATTGGGACACACGCATACTTATCGCTTGTTAGCAATGTTAGCTAAAACCCGATAAGCATGTCAGTGGGAGCATATAAAGAACTCTTTCAAAAGTCAAACACAGAACAAAAATTGTACTATTTCTGCTACAACAATAATTAAACAAGAAACCTTTACTATATGCTCTATGAGCCTGCGTTTCACAATGTTTCACCATTAGCATGCTAACAACGGTCACTGGCAATGCTAATGCTATCACTTGCTAATTAGTATTAAAATCAAAGCCACTGAGAATATTAAGTTTAAATTATTGGACAAATGATTTGAATTGTGACAACATTACGGTGCTATCGTACCATCTACCTGAGCATCATGCCTAGCTGTATAAAATGTCATTTAAATCTGTCAAGTAGTCAGAGTGAATTGAAATGGTGGCTCAATCTGACAAGTACTGCCAAAGCAAGCAAATGAATCCAATCCAGATATTTATTAGAAACACTACTGCATCAGTATTTATTATGGTTTCTTTTACAATGTACTGGTTAATACGGGAAAAAAAAAAATCTGTGCTTCAACCTCAGTAAAAAAAAAAAAAAAAAATCTGACAGGGAGTGGGTGGTTTATAAATCATTTTTTAAATGTTTTTTTAACTGTACAAAAAAACACTGGCCTCACAAACACAGACATGTGGGTGTAAAGGAAGCACATTTACTTATCAATAAACACAGATTTTTCATTAATGTTCCGCTATTCAAATTTGGATTATGCTCAGTAGAAAAACATACAGACTTTCAAAAGCTGTCAGATTGTGAAGAATATCACAGCTAAACACATATATATAAAGAAAAGCAGCTGCACCATATTCCAGTCCTGGAAGACACCCTTACAGTTAATTAGATAAAGGTGTTAGGTGTATCTGTCCTCCGAGTTGGAGGCTTGCTTCACTGCAGTTGTGGAATGGCAGAACCTCAGTGATGCTCTCCCACAGGTTTAGCTGGAACAAGCGAGCGCACAGCGAGGGCGCAACCAAACGCTGATTATGTCGCCTCTGCTGCTGTGCCAGCCTTGGCTGGGCCGATCAAGAGTGGGACACACATTAAATATTAACTTAATTGGTCCCAGCAGAGCCGTGCTAACATACGGCAAGCATCAGACGAAAATGTCACTGTTTCCCCAGAGCCCCCGCACACTTAGGATCAAAGACAATAACATTGGTTCTAATCTGCTGTAATTGGGAGATAAGAGATTCAATGGTACAGCATGCATAAGTGTAGCTGAATGCATTTGTGTTTGTGCGTGTGCGTGTCTGTCATTCTCCCTGATGGAGGCTTGTCAGCTCAGAGTGACAGCCAGCAATGGGACTAGTCAGAAAAGCTCAGCATCCCTTCTGGTTTCTACACTTTCCTCTCGCCACTGAACATCCATTTTATCTCTCGTCATTGAGCAGCCTGTTTAATGCATGGAAAGTTAACATCTGCGGTGGATTAGCAGGTTGCAAGCGTGGTCATAAAAGTCACATGTGCTGAAGGTGTACAGTACATACACTCTTCACTGCACCACCTCCCGCTGGTCCACCACTCTCATGCACTACAATTAACTCTAATGGTAGCCATAGTGAAAGTCTAATCATAAATGGTGCATTTTAAAGATAGTGATTAGTGATTAGTCTGAACCTCTCCAGGGAAGTTTAATCTCCACTCAAAGTAGTTAATGTACTTGCTAAATGAACTGCTCCCTCCATAATAGCACCAAGAGCAGTGTGGAGTCGAGATTACTAAGCAGCGTGGGCAACGTTCTAAATCACTCACTAAAAACTACAAAACCCTGGAGACGCCGTGGCTTACCACAGCACCAGGTTGTGTGAGAGACGGGGAGCTAATGCACTCAAGGGCGTCGAGGGAGCTGCAGAGTATGGCAGCACAAGTGCTGGAGTCAACAAGCTCAGATGTCCTTTTCTTGGCTAAGAGAGCCGGAGAATAGCAGAACAAGAGCTAGCCAGAGGGAGAGGGAGAGAGAGAGAGAGAGTTTTTGTGCACCAGCAGCCTTCTTGCATCCAACGCAGACACACAAGGTCATTTCAACAGTCGCACACTACTGGGTCATTGGATGAGCTGAATAAAGAGAGCACGCTACTGTTAGAGCTACTCTAATGTCAAGTAAACATATGGGCTGAAATGCATCTGAGGAAAAACACTCTTTAGCTCCCGTGTCACATTCTTTTATACACAGTTCATGAGATTTTTCGCCAGGACTTTTCCTGAGTGTGTCGGCTATTATGTGATAGCAGCAGGGGCAAAACTGAAGCACAAACGGACAGACGTAAGGCATGAGAGTCTGTACACAGTTTCCATCTCATCTTCAACTCTCTGACTGTGAGAGCGCTAATTTCAGTGCAAGCTCCCATTGACTTTCGTTTGCCGATGTCCCGCAGACGTCCGTAGATTGCGCTTGTGGAGGGGAGGTTAGCCATTAAAGCCAGCGAAAGTGGACTCTAGTGGGAAGTGGCACTTGTGGCTGTGGGTGGTGTCAGAAGAAGAGGAAGAGCTCAGAGGGAGGGGGAAAAAAAAGAGGTGTGGAGAGAAAGAGCAAGAGAGAGAAAAGAGCGAGCGCACAGGGGTTGCTGGGAAAAGATTGGGACAGGCTCTCCTTTTAATTTACTAATTAACCATGCAAATGAAATCTTAACAGGCTACTCAGAGGCAGTCCTCAGGGGAGGGAGGAAGGCATTAGTGCTTGATTATACTCTGTCCATGTGGAGGGGGGGAAAAAAGCGAAGTTGAAATATGCTGTTGAACAAAGTGATGGGAAACTTCTCGGCCTGTGGCAGCCAAGCAGAACCACAGCTTGGCTGAAGGGAGTGAGATGTCTCTGTTGACATGGATGGAAAAAGAAAAGCAAAAAAAACAAGAACAACAACCCAAAACACATATAATATATATTATGTGTTTAAGCTGGATGTGTGGATTGTTTCAACTGACTTAGGGTCAGTGTGTGTGTGTGGTGGCGGGGGGCAACCATCATCTGAACAAATGGCACAATCCCGAACTGTACATGGTGTAATCAGGCCTGCGATATCATTCAATTTATCATGGCTGTGCCTACCTCCTACACGTCTGTGCCAGTTTCTGCTAACCTTTCAATGTGACAGACGAAGCTGTTAGACATAATAGTCCACCTATCGCTCAGCTGATTCGAAACCGGCCAATCTCAGGCCTCACAAACTGCCCGTCACACACAATAACAGGCAGCGCCACAATTTTCACAAGTTTACCTTGAAGACGTCCTGCGTGTCGTCCATGCAGTATACCCTGATGTTGTATTCCAGCGTGGAGCAGTAAGCGTCCGAGAAGAGCACCAACCTCAGGCGCTTGGCGGCGCCCATGTGCAGGGACTCGCCCACCAGGGCGAATGTACCCAGCTGCTCCGAGAAGAGCCGGCACGTCTCGGCCTCGAGCTGGCAGTAATAAGGGTCTGACACCAGCTCCTCTCCCATCAACAGGACGTCCTGGAAGAGGCAGGGGTGGGGGAGGAAGAAAAAACAAAGTGTGGATAGAAGGTCAGGCACCCAATTTATGTAGGAGGCAAGGGCGATGTGTTTGCCTGGATATCTGGTGTGTGTATGTGTGTTTGCAAAAGGCTTTTAGGAAAGCAGACTGGCGCAGTAGAAGGGCATCAAACTCTATTGTTCGTGCTGTGTGACAGAGTAACATCAAAGGTAAAAGGTCTTTAGGTAATGTTTAGATCAGGGGGAAAAAGGTCTTCTTTGATCTCGCTTCAGATTCCTTTTTCGCCGCACTACGACTTACTACATCCTGACATAAAGACACACACACCTCCTCATACAAAGACATACATCCTATAGAACACCATCAGTTTCCTTAATAATGCATGAACGAGGTATTCAGTTAACATGAAAGGAGACTCGAACAGATTCCTGGCAAGAACAGACGCTTCTGCAGAAAGGAAAGACTGGAGGTGCACTGAATATGGGATTATCGGGATTGCTGGAATTTCCTACAACGATTGTTTCAGATTTGTTAAGAAAGGTGAAAACAACTTGCCAATTTATCTGCAAAACAACAGTCTTGCCTGATGGTGAAAAGTGCTGAAAAACACTAACAGGCAGTACAAGAATTAATTGGTGCTTTAATTTGCCACGGAGAACAAAAAAAATGACAGGTTTAAAACAAAAACAGAAAAAAAAAAAACCTCAGAAACAACACCTTGCATTTTTCATCGTCGTTACAGAGCTGAAATCCTGCATCGCAAATCCATCCTTAACAAGGATGAGGTACCTATGAAAATATCCCATTCCATCACAGTACGGGATATTTTTCATGAGATAATTCCACTGCTCTCTGAGATAATTTGATGGAGACAAATTGGACCCAAGGTGACAACATTTTCTCTAAAATCCCTTCATGCCAGTTGACTGACTCTACCCATTAGCCAATCAAGCTGAAGAGAGCATTCTGCCTGCCAAATGCCCAGCGAGCCCCTGTAGGATCGATTCAACCAGACACCATCTACATCAATAGAATTAGTATTGACACAATTCATTTGCTATGCAACCACAATGGAGTCTCACTTTTTCATCATCTTAATATTTCTACAGAGTGGAACAGAGACCGAGGTGGCTCAATTACGCCACTAAGCGCTCGCTCTACGAGCAATTCATTCCTCTTTCTCCCTCTGCAAGCCTGTTATCCATTTTCACTCTCGCCTTGCGTCGTCCTCGCCTGCATGGCGTTCCTCTAGATCTGCATTACCTGCCTGTCTACTTTTCCTCTCTCTCTCGATCTTATTTCTTTTCCCCCCCTTCCACTTTCCGTCACACTCCGCAGTTATTTCCACCCTCTCGCCTTCTATTCTCTTGTCCACCTGGCACTTTTATCCCCTTTGGTGTCCACGCAAGCCAGGCTGCTGGGCTATATTTGGTCCGGCCGATGATTAAAAGGACTGGTCTAACCTCTGCCTCAGACAGGCCAATCCATCCCACAGACACCCCACCCCTGCGGGGGGGGGAGGGAGGCTGAATAATTTATGCACAATATCGAACATGAAAGAAGACCTAGTAACACTCTGAAGCCCACCAGCACCCTTTCCAATCTCTCTGGATTGTCGAGATGGTTACACTACCTCAAACTGTGCTTGTTTGTGTGCGTGTACCTGTGTGTGTGTGTAGGCAGGTTCTTCCCAACTGCATCCTATTGGAGCCTGGCACTTCTGGTTACTTTCAAATTTCATGGATAGAAAAATGGGGAGGGAACTCTGTAATTGGAAGCCGCGGTCAGAAATGGTCAAGGAGCACTCAGAGGAGTACTTTGAGGATCAGTAATTTGCTTAGAGAATGTCTGTTTTGAGAAACATGTTGCTTAGCAACTCATCAGCTAGAGAGCCAGCGCTTCCAGGCTTTTGTTCAAGCCCCGATGAGAAAACACCTGATGGTCAATAATTTAAACCCGATGGAGTAGATGAGTGCCGGGTCAGAACTATCTCCGCTATATACCACTGAGTGCCTTTCAAGTCACTGCTGAGCAAGTTTGTACTTTTTTGGGGAGAAAAGCTCTGAATAAGTTTAGAAGACTTTACAAATTCACTGGATGGCAACTTTGTCTTTCTCCAAAGGATTTGTGCTGGAATGATAGTGCCGTCTTACCTCCCAAGCGCCCTCATAATTCTGCTTCTTAAGGCGCACGGCCCAGTTATCCAGGCATGCATCAAAGCAGTGGTCCATGCTGAGGATAACTGGTCGGCTCAGGACCACCCCCGGAGGGCCACAACTCACAATGGGGCTGAGAAGGGTCTGGCAGCCAGCCACGGGTAACCTACACCGGGGAGAGGAGCAAGAGAGAGCGATGGATGCTTTTCCTCATTGAGATATAAGTGAGAATTTATCGGTCTCTTGTAAGCAGGATATGATACTGTCACCTCTGCAAATTATCTAGCAGCTGTAACAGAGAATCATAAAAGCCTGCTGGACTCGCTGACTTGTCGCACCAAGCTGTGATGACTGAGTAATAACATGACACTACCGCGGCATGCTGCAGTGGCTGTGCCACGAGAGACTGAAGTGCAGCAAGCCAGATAAACAGTGTTTTCCCAAACAATTCATTTAACTTAAATAGTGCACATCCCGGTAAAAGGCTACGTTATTTATTTACATCCTTTCTCCACAGTACTGGCACAGACTGCTAAGCCGTTCCTAATGGAACAGTAGAGCATCAAAACAAACAGCCTAGTGGCAGGGAAGACTGCCAGTTAGACAGCGTTAAAGAGACCCACCTTAAATCTTCCTTCCTCTGAACAGTGAGATAAATCTCATAGATCTTTCCTCTGGGGATGGCCTCGGGAGGAATGAGCAGACTGATTCCTAATGCAAATAACAACAAAGGGAGAGAAGAGAGGAGGGGGGTGAGCAGGAGGGAGGGAGGGGGACAGGCTCATTTGTTCAGAGTGAACAACGCTTTTGTCATCCCACAAAGGAAGCCAGCCTACTCGACAAAACTGTAAGGCTGCAAAAACAAAAAACAAATCTATTCTGAAGGTCAGAGGCAGCCTCCTTCAGGTACAGTAGATGCAAATCTCTGCACCGGCAGCCGAGGCGGCACACGTCCCCACGGTCAACAATTAGCTGAGACAAAAGCGCACGCTGCATCGCAGTTTAAATGTCCTCCGTCTGCCACCAAGTAGATAATTGAGACCATGGAACAGACTACTCCAGGAAAATTGCACTTCCCCAGGAGAGTGTAGGAATGCACACTGGAGAATAGGCAGAGCTATTGAAATAGCTTGAGTGTTGTGGCATTTGAGCTGTGTTTCCGGTGCCAAAATCATCCACTTAGAATCCCATTTTAAATGTTGTACAAATAGAGACTATGTGACACAATCTCAACAGTCTCTGCATGGTAAAACTGGGCCTCTATTCACCATAAAACATCTGTTTGAATAAGGCGAAGGTGCCTAAATGCTCACAGCCTTGTCTGAATCTATAAACCATGTCTTCCATGTGCCCACTCTGAAACTGTGCTAAATGACAGTATATCTGCTTTGAGTTGAAGCATAAAAGTGGTGAGATATTTTTTTCCCCCCCCCCTCTGTGTCCCACTGAGAAGATGGGTGCCAATGCGTGGTATAGTCAACATGGCTTTGAGTTAATCCATGCATAAAACATCTTCAAGAGAGTGGAAGAGAGGCACAGAGAGAGAGAGTGGTGGCAAGGAAACAGGAAGGAAAAAAAGGCCCCTTTCTTCCACAAGACGTACCAGCATCGGCTAATCTGGACAGCTTACAATGAGCCAAATGAAAACACTGTCTTCCAGTATAATTATATAAGCTCTAATCGGCTAATGTGAAGAGGGGAAGCAAAATAGGGACTTAATGATGACGCGGTGGACTTTTTATATCTTTTATAAGGCTGATCTTTGCCGTCTTTTTCCCCCTTCTGTCTGTTCTCTTAGCATAAAACTGACACTTGTGGACATTGGCTACAACCCCCAACCAGCTCTGTCATTAGCCAAGGAAATAATTGGAATAATTTGTTATAGATTTTATTCCACATCTCTTTCGGGGCACGGCGTCTTCGGCACACACTCATTATATCTCATCTTGTCACTGCACTGAATGTTCTTTTTAGTTATTCATGCATTGCTGTGTAGATGTGGCTTGTTGACAAATATAAGCAGAATCGCTGTTTTTTTTGTGTGATTTAATGTTGGATTAGTGACTTTTTCGGTGTCCCGTCTTATTTCCCTCATAACTGATGGAAACTAATTTGTATCCCATGCAGAAATACAGCCTGTGCACTTCATGGCTGTCCTGGCATGAACCTATTAGGAAACATGAGTTTTAAGGCTGAATAGTGTGCAGTGGGTTTCAACAAGACAGTAATGTTTATGGGACTGAGCCGTTATTGTTCAATTCTCCTTGCAAATGTCCAGTCACAGACACTAAAGCAGGTGTAATAAAACATATAAAGCCAACTCGCTCCCGCAGCATTTCCAAACACAGAGCAGATGTTAAATTGTTTAGATCATGTTTCTTTGTGAGCTTAAAGTATAGCTGTAAACAGAGGAACATCCTACAGAGGATTAAAGATGCCATTGCATGACACAAACTTACAATACAGGGCCCGAATAAAACAACTGTTTTTACAGTCCAAAGTTGTTGTTTTTTTATTCCACTTTTATGAATCACGTTTATAAGTTTGGGAGCAGTAAAGTGGAAATTGCTTTCAAGTTTGAGGTTTCACTTCTTATTACGAAGAAGCCAAGAGCTGTAAACAGAGAAACATACGGAGTGGTGGGTTAGCTGTTCTCTGTGCAGTGTTTGTGACTGTCATTCTGCATCAGCCGCTATATGGACCTCCAGGGCAAAATCAACTTCTCGAGACTGACAGATAGTCTGCTGCACCTTATGTCTGCAGCACAGTTGCCTGTTGTCACAAAGAGCTAACAAAGAAATAATGTATGGAGTGCTATTAGTTCAGCCAGCTACTGCATCTTTGGTAATAAATAATAATAGACGATAGCGTGAGCCTTCATCCATCCAAATGATGTTACCAAAGAGACGTAATAACACAGACTATAGAGAGGCAGCAACCACATCACAACGGGTTTCTGATCAGACCTTCTGATCATTTCCAACACCTGACATTTGATTTTAGGATAAATTCAAAACGTTAATTACTGTTTAAACTGAGCTATTGAAAAATAATAGTAGGTTTGTGAAGGTCCCGTCTCCCGTCATCCCCAACTGGTCACAGCAGATGGCTGCCATTATCTGAGCCTTCTTCTGTTGGACATTTCTTCCTGTTAAAAGGAAATCTTTCCTTCCCACTGTTGCTAAGTGCTTGCTCATAGGGTGATATTTTAATACTGGTGTTTTCTCTGTATTACTGTAGTGTCGTCACCTTACAGTATAAATTGCCTTGAGATGACTGCTGTTGTGACTTGGTGCTATATAAATAACACTGAACTGAGGTGAAGATCAATTTCTAGAGCAACCTTTAAATAAAATGCAAGCTGCATGTCTGTAGAACTTGCAGCTTGCATGCATTTTAAATTCTTCAATGTTACTTTTTGCACTCACTTTTTTTTTCTTGTCATAACTTTCATTTCTTTTGATGTAATTCCCCATTTTTTTTGCACTTTTACACTTAAGGAATAAGAAAGTATCAAAGTTCTCAGGGTCCACCATTTGTGTCCTTTTAGCTCCTACTTTAGCCAAGTTCTCACAAGCACATAAGGGGAACCTTTGAGTGACTCAAATGTACATTTATTGGTCTATGCCTTGTATGCCCCTCATGTGGTGAGTGGCACAGCAATTTGGAAATGTATACATAATATTTATATATCTATATATATATAGATATATAAATAAACCAGCATAGAAATTATAGTAGAACTTTGATGTTAGCTTTAAAAATGATAGAAACAGGGAAATTGGTCCAGGCTTTAAGCCTTTATATGCAGCAGAGGAAATATAATGGAATTTTGACTCAGCAAAGCAAAATATAAAAAAAAATCTTCCCTAGCATTTCCTCTCAGCTACCTAGGGCATCCAAACAAACAGTGCAGCAATGTAGAGAGAAAATGCAGAGAGGCTGGAATAGGATTACAAGAAAGCAAAAGGCCACAACAACCAAAGCGGATCCAAATAGGCCTATTTCACAGCAGCTTTTTTCCATAAAATGTTGGCGAAACACACATACTAATGCCATTAACAGAGGTTCTGTTTCATTCAGGCACAAAGCCTTTATTAATGTGATTAGTAACACCTGTGTTTCCCTGCCATTTTATGTCAAATTGGCTGCAGTGTGGCTATGGTTTACTGAAAACCATTAGCCACAGGCCTGCACGCGCTGGTAATGTGGGCACGAAGGATTTGTTAGTCAGGATAATACATCATGTTCGGTGGTTGGAAAGCAAACAGAAAAAGATCCCCTGAGGGTACGAGGTTCTCAGGGGGACCACCCTAGTTAGCAGCAGAGCCTCAGGTGGGTAGAAAACTGTTTGGTAACCCCACACTACTTGCCCCGGGTAGTAAATACTTCCTCCTGATGTTAACCTTATTATTTCTTCTGAAAACACACATTAAGGCCCAGTAATATACTGCACTGGTGTTATTTGGTCTCAGAAAAGGGAGCATTATGATGCAATATGACATCAACCAAAGCCTCCAATAAATAGCCAATAAATATGACTTTCTGTTTACAACAATAACAGACATGTAGCAACAGTGAGCTTTTTTGTTTACAGGTGATTACAATACGTGAACAAAAGCTTAAGTGGAAGTTTTTTTTGTTTTTGTTTTCTAAGCCAAAACAATTGATCTGAACAGTGTGAGAGTTGGAATGAAACCTAAATAGACCTTAATGAAGAACCTACCTGTGTTGGGGATAGTCAGCCTGCCGCCTAGGAAGTTGAAGGTCCCATAGGAGGTGTTGGCCACATCGCGGGGCAGCGTTTTAAAGTAGCTCTGGGTGGAGAGCCTGCTTACAAACTCGGCAGCAGCGTCAGAGTTGAGCTTGCCGTTGTGCAAGGTGTGTGAGCCGTTGGGAAGCGGGTCCAGCAGAGGCCCGTTGGTCATCGAAAACTTCCCGGTGGCATCGTGGCGAGAGCGCAGGGTGCCTTGATAACTGGTGGTGGTGGTGGTTAGATCAGGCTGGATGGTGAGTAAATGGGAGTTCTCTGTTTAGATGATAAAAAAAAAAAAAAAAAGCAAAAACAGCAAAAGACAAAAGCAAACGTGTGAATCTCAAAGAGTGGTGGGAGGAAGGCTGGGGAGGGGAGTGGAGGGAAGGGGTCCCTACATCACAGAGACAGACCTCGCACTCTCTAAAGCTGTTGCGAGCTGCACAGAAAACCGAAACAAACACAGAAAAGAAGACACATGGCGCAGAAAACAAGAGCACTCGCACGCGCGCGCACACTCTCGACAATACACAAACACAAATTCCAGTCAAAGCCAGTCAATTCCCATCTTCTCTCTCTCTCCGTTTCTCTATCACGGTCTGTCTCTTTAGCAACCACACAATCAATTCCAAACAGAACTCAGATGCAGCTTAGCATCCAGAATATATAAAGGCTTTTTTTCCCCCCCTCTCACACTGAATCACAGACACAGCAACCCAGTCCCCCATCTCCATCCAACTCAGACAGTTGTATTTCTATTACTCGCTGTTAAACCTCTGAGGCTCCACACAGGCAGTAAACAGAGTGGGTACATTTCCTGACAATAAGGTGCTGGCGAAACATAATGTGTCAGGCAGGCAAATAAACAGCTCGTGCACCACACACACGCAACATAATAAATCTCGCTTAGACCACAATCCACTGAAAACACATTCGCGCCACCTCCACAACCACAAACAAACAGCACCGGTGGTACATGTAGATGAGTGCGGCACAGTCACTGTGGCGACGACGGACAGACGAAAGCGGAACAAAGAACAGTGTCCTACTGCTGTGGGGGGGAGCCCTGCGTGACCGCGGCGCCCACACACCTGGCTTGCTGGGCTTGATGCCCATGGGCTGGAAGCCAGTGGTGAGGATGGAGGAGTCGGCCACGTCGGCATCCAGGCCTTCCTTCTTGCGCCTGTAGACCAGGACGACCACAATAAGCAGCAGGGTCAGACACAGGGCCACGGCCACCATGCCCACGTAGAGTGCCACATCCTCAGCTCCGCTCACGGCTGCAAAGGGGAGGACAAAAAGAGGAAAGAAAGAAGAGGAGGAAAAATTACTAATCAAGACTGGAGGATGCCCTCTGGTGTTCAGTGTTAATGTCATTTTGAGCTGCTGCAACATGTTCTGTGCAAAGGTCTCACTCGAGGACCTGTTTAATGGCATGAAGCATTCCTTCGCTGCCACCTAATGTTGCTTGACGCCTTCATAAAAAGTTAAGGGAGCCAACATTATCAAATACTGCAGGCCAGAATTTCTAAAACTCTGAGGTCTCGATGTCAAGCTGTGGGGGAAAAAAGCTAAACAGGAAAAAGCAGTTTCTGAAGCAGATTTTCACCGTTTCACTGTCACATTTTTTCATTTCTGCACCGGATAAATATATCTTAGGCCAGCATGTTCTTTTACCTCTCTTTCTCTAAGCACACAACACCCCAAGAGAAACAGAGAGGGGAAAAAATGAAGCATTTGCTTATGAAATTCTAACTCCTCGTATTGACTGCCTGTCTCACAAATGCACAGGAGTGTCTTTCTCCCAAAAGTACAGTATGAAGCTGACAGCCAAGCTGAGACAAACATCAATGTGTCTGCTTGTTTCTGTCTATGCACTTGTGTGTGTGTGTGTGTGTGTGTTTGTGTGCAAGTATGTGTTTTGCAGCAGAATGGGATTTGCCACGGCTGTCTCCCGGGGCTGGGGGAATTTGGTGGTGGAGGTGGAGGATGCTCCTGGGGCCTTTGTGGAGGGCCATTGTGCTGGTGAGCCACGGGGGCGTAGCGCTGTCAACTGAACACAGTCAAGGAGGGGACGCGCTGAACAGCGCAGCTTTGAGGGATGGAGAACAACAGCAAAGGTTAAAGCACTGCAGGCTGGCATGTGGTGAGTTGACAACAAAAGGAGGAGAACAGGAGCAGGGAGCGCGAGGGGAGCAAGTGTACAAGAAAGAAAACGCAGAATTAAAGAAGACTAAAGCGAAGACAGCGTGTGCCTGCGACTGACAGCATGTGGGATTTGCATTTCAGCAATGAGCAGCAGTAACACGTCCAAAAGGTTTGTGTCAAAATCAACCTGATTACCATTAGGTTTGTCATCTTTTGATAAATATCTCCAGGCTGTCACCACTGTGTAATCCTACTGCATGACAGGAGCCGCGCTCAACCTTAGAAACGCAGATTTGACAAGTTTTAATTGGTGTTTGTAAATCTGTGACACGAGAACGCCACAATTGAATTAGCGGAGCGCTAAAAGTTGACGAGAGAGAGAAAGGGAGAAAAAAATAAGCTCCCTTTCTGTCTGCAGCTCTCATTTCTATTCATCTCTTTACATCAATTTGTCCTTGCCTCTCCTTTTGCCTTGAAAAATCCATCTTTGGACAAAGCTGCCTGACATACCCAAGTGTTTAAGAGAAATGCCAGAATCTATTTCATGGGTGATTATCTCAGTACAATCTGATACTTTAAGTAGCGGATTATATGCAGCCAACCTCTATGGCAGCTCTTCGTAATGCCAGAGATCTCTTGACATGTAATCGATCGCGAATGACTGGCTGAAGATAAACACGAGACTGTGTGTTTTGTTTGTGATGCTACGTAGCACACCTGCACATAACACACTTAAAGCATGAGGACTCTTATCTGATGCATTCAACCTTCCTCCACCTCTCCTCTTGTCCATTTACCTGCCTTTGCCTCGCTCTCCTTAGAGAAGCACCGAGGTGCTTAACTGCAAGAAGCCTGGCTAAACTTTCCCTCCCTTTCACAATGAGCTCCAAAAAAAGAAAAAAGAAAGAAAGAACAAAAGGATGAGAGAGACTCTGGCTGAACTTCTCATTAGAGTTCCCAAATCCAATTGTCTTGGCGAGCCAAAGGCCAGATGATGCCGTGATATTTGAACTTCTTGTGCTGCAGTCCGCTGGGAGATGTGTAGTTTGACTAAAGACAAAGCAACACCCGTCAGTGAGGAGACGAGCCAGCTGGTTTCCGCTGATTGGATAAACATAGCCTTAGATTGGCCGGTTGCTGTTTACTTGCTAAGGGCACACCAAAGACAACTGGCTAACCTCGGATGCAAAGATCCAGTATCTCGACTCTTCCCTTTTCCCAGCACCCTCGCGCCCAGACAATAAAGCCAGCCAGTCAATCAAACAGCTCTTCCTTCTTTCCTTTCTCTCTATTCTGGCTGTAATCTCTGGTGGCTTATCAGAGCATCGCTGAGTGAAGTTTTATCTGACCCGCCAGGTGTCCTAGCGAAACGATCCCGATGCTCACAACAACCCTGACCAACAACTGCTCTCAGCTCCTCCTGGCCCCACTCATTGATTTTCATGATGCCAGCCAATAATTGAAAGGACATCCATCACAGTTTAATTGACATAGCTAATCAGGTTTTATAATTGGATGGGCTTTACTTTAGTCCCTCTCTAACATGCCCCCTCTCTCACACTCTCTCTTTCCAATCGCACTACACTCTCTTCCTCTCCGCCATCAGTCATTCCATCTTTCATTTCCACTTGACTTAATTGCTGGCAAAAACTTTTGATTCTCTTTGTGTGTGACCTCTCGTCATGAGTGACACCCGCCTGAGGATAATCTGTGGATGAGATGAGCTTTTTTCAGAGTTGACCTCAGGCCAATCTCTCTTTGCGCCCGTCTCCACGAGCTTTCGCTTCAGCTTCTCAGACTCGCTCCGGGGCTGGCTGGTAGGGGATCAGTTTCTGACTCGAGATGGGCCGGTATAATTCATCTCCTCTAAGGCGGTGTATCTGGCTCCTGTTGAAGTTTGGACTCTGGCTGTATTGACAGTCAGCACAATGACCGCACCTGATAGTCCTCCACTCTCTCTGCCTGCTTTTTCCCCCCCCTCTCTCCTGCATTGATAAATAAGAGTTTTGGAGCCTCCTGCGCCTCTTTCCCGGGCATTTATCAGGACACCTGAGAATATATTTCATCCCATGGCCAATCCTAGTCACTCGCCCGAAGATGAATAACACAGGAGTTCTTAAGGTCAGGGAAATATGGCTACTAAAACTCTCAACGCGAACGTGACTATTACTATCTCCACAATACAGTCGTCCCATCCCTCAGCAGGCTCCAGTGAAATATGGCCCAAAATAAATGTCCGGCTATTTTTCACAAAGCACCGTGACCCCGCTCTGACAAACAGAGCGGTGACGGACAATCTCAGCCTCCGCGCCGCCAAATTAGCTCTGAAATAAAAAAAAAAAAATACAAAAAAAAAACAAAAAAAAACAAAACAAGAACAGGCTGAAGATAAATTAACAGTTTGATGTGTTTTGCTCAATAATTTGTGACACATCCCAAAATGGGATGCTGCTGCAAATTAAGTTCATTGCCTTCATTACACACATTAAGCCGAATAATTGTTTTTATGTTGTCCTAATTCCCTGCGCCTGAGAAAACGAGCACCATTATTTTCCCTCCACTATCCTTTCTCTGCCCTCTAACACCTGTCTCCCATTTTGGTTCTGCCATGCTGCCCGCATATTTATTATTCCCCCTGCGTAGATTTTGCATAGAGTATATGTTTGGGCTTCACTTGTTTGTTTTATGAAAATGATCCTTCCTGGGTCAGATTGCTTTTCCAGCTTTGTGTTGCACATTTATTCTCATGTACATCTAAAAACAATAACCTCATCGAACGCGTTTCATTTCTAGCTTAATGAGGGAGATTAGACGTGTCTGTGAGGTCCTCAGACGCAGAGTGACTGTGGTTCACTGTGCAGTTGTTGTGTTAGATTGCGCTGGGAGAGCAGGGTGCCTTTTGTTTCAAGGAGGGGGAGTTTTCCATCTCAGCTAATAGCCTGCAGACATGGTTGAAGTATGGGAGTTGCTGACAAGCCAAAACCATCTTGCTATTTTGCTTATTATAATACTTCACACAGCAATTGTCTATGGAAACACATCTGCTGGGAACAGATTGGGACAGGCATTCTTCAGAGGCCGGCGCTCCGCTCTGCTCTGTCAGTGTAAATACTGAGTGACTCTGTGTGTGCGTTTGCTCGACTGTGTGTGTGTGTGTGAGAAGAACAATGACTGGCATCTTTGTGTATATATCTTGCTTCTCTTGGGAGGAGCTGCTGACCTTTGATGATGGGCTGACTGAACTCCCTGGTTCACTGCACCAGCCAAACCCGGCTATCGGTGGACACTCGCACATACGTGCACTTGCTTGCGTTGCACTAACACATGCAGCACACAATGCAGCATTCGCATGCAATTCCAAACAATCCACGCCAGCCAAGCATCGGTCTATTTGATCACATCAATCACAGCAAAATACATAATTCAGTTTATTAATTCAGTGGCCCATGTCAACTGAATCCCCATTAAAACTCAGTGTTTACCATGCAGATCAGCCAGAGAGCACACTATTTATAACATTTTCTCTATGAGACGCCACCCAGAGACTCATTGTGGGCAACATGCAGTATCTTTCTGTCTTTGATATCTGTAGGAAGTGACAGAGCTCTCCCTTCATGTCCATCTGTTCTGCAGAGGACCCCGTGGTGTCACTTTTCCACTCAGCTGCCGTCTCCGGCCATATGAGCCTTGCCCTTTCTCATCCTGACAGTATGCACATGCCCTATTAATGACACGCAGGGGAGTGGCACCACAGTATAATCTGGCTTGAATTAAACAGAAAAGTGCACATGCATTCCCCTACGCTTTAATATACGCACAATATGAGATTAATCCCAATTTTAAATGCACCAGTGTAATTGATAGGTTGTGTTGTAATCAGAGGAGAGATGCTTTTATTCCTGGTTTTATTAACAGGTCATAGAGCAACACGGCACCAATATGCAAGGTAGGAAAGAAGGTACATTACCCAATGATAATTAGAAATGATCATCTGAAAAGGTCACACAGGTGGGGATGAGCCAGCAGTGGGCTGCAGATTAATCTTTTGTCTGTACGAGTGTTTAATGAGATGGACACCTTTCCTTCACGAACCCTTTGTAAGATGAACTCGACATCTATGACAAAAAGGAGGCTTCAAGCGTTTGATCGGATAAAAGGAAGAGGATGAGGAAGAGGATCCTTTTTTTCCCCCCAAAATTGAAAATGTTTTTTAAAAAAAATCAAGTAAAAAGCCTTTCCCCCCTATTCCCTTCTAGCATTTACCTGAGGGGCTAATTGATGCTAATGTTGTACACCTGTTCTCTTTGTATTGTTTGTGATCTACTTGTTATAGCTGATGAGGTTGTGAGACTGAACCCTGTTTAATATTTACCTTTGAATAAATTTTTCCACTTCAGCCTTGAGTGGCATGCTTCTTTTTTTTTTTAAATTAACAGTGTATAATCTAGCAAAAGCTCTCAGATGCTGTTTTGAGTGCATTTATTGGTTTTTAAAATGTTCATTTGCCACTCATCAGCTCAGTTTTAATACACAAATACATAACAAAACAACCATCTACTGATCCTTGTGCCAGAAACTGGCTAAAAAAAAAACATATCTAAAGTAGATGTTTTGTATTGTTTCACTGAGTTGAAGAGTGAGAGTTATCTTGTGGTGCGTGGGTGGTGGTGCACTCACTCTGTGGACACTGCTCGCTGGTACAGTTGAGAGACTGGAGATCAAGCCCCTGGCAGTCTTTGCCCCCTGTGCCAGGTGAGGGCTGGGTGCACTCTCTGCTCCTCCACATCGAACAGTCTGCGCCACATGCTGACCACTTGCTCCACTCGCTCCAGCCTCCGTCCACTAGAAAAAAACAATATAAAAAATAAAAATAACAGTGGTGAAACACATGCACAGCAGCTAAAACGCAAACGAATTCTCTTCAAACAATTTATTTCGACAATAAACCGGGCCATAACTCCCCTTTTTTCAGCAACAACGTGAACTGGTGGAAACGGTGGCGCCAAACTATCTGTGTATTTGCGTGCGAGACGAGAACAAGTGGTTCAACACTCTGTTGCCATCCTGTGTAAATCTAAAATGGAAACCTGGTAATGAAAACCTTTTAAAGACATGCAAATCCACTTGCACACACTCAAATCCAGCAGCTGTACAGAGAAACCGAAGCGTGTAGAGCTGCTGAGGAGAGCCATATTGTCTCTATTCTGTTCTCTTTGTTTATTTTCAGCATGGAAATCAGATGCAACTAAGTTTAACCCCACTGGTGCAAGTGCGGCCTGGTAAACCAAGCTGCCAACAAACCAAGGGGGAAAAAGTAACCTCTGACCAAGCGGTCCATACATACGCAAGAATATAAGTTTCAGATTTCTCATACACCCAGCACAACATAATATAACATTTGAGAGAAGGAACCATCTCACCCTTGTTTGATTTCTTTGTCAAGATGCTAATATAGCGCCTGCGGTGTTGCCTGAAGTGCATCCGAATGCATGACAAAATACATGTGGTATTACTCTGAAAAGAAGAGAAAGTACATTACACCTGCAGCCTGACCATAACTTCAAACAGCCCACAATGAGCACAATGGAAATGGGCCCGTAATAGTTCGGAGCACGCTTGGCTGTAAGAAATATCAGCAGCTTTACCACATACAGAGAGGAAGGCCATTTTGCAAAGGTGGGGGTAATTTGGCATTGCGGCTGGTGCGGGCGGTGGCCGGGAGTAATATTGAGAGTGACACAGCGCCAGGTCTGGGGAAGGTTACTATAGGGCTAATGGGAAAAAGAGCAATAATGAGCTCTCATGGGGGAAAAAAAGGAAAAAAAAAACACCACTGTCTCACTCTTTCTCTCTCTCCCAAATGTAAGGGTGAAGGGGACCAGACGAGAATTACCTGAACACACACACACGCAGTAAATGCACACCTCTATGACAGCAGCAACCCTTCCCCTGGCTGACCTAAGGGCAAGGAAACCTTAGTGCTCATTAATCCTAGCAATAAAGAGTGCAGGGGGCATGACCTGCAGAAAGCAGCTCTGACCCACTGCAGGTCATGAAGCTTTGGTTAATAAAACATAAGTGAGATGTTACTGAGGGCGAGGGTACCTGTTACTGCATAACTGTATCAACTAATGATTTTATTTGCTTCGCAAGCAAATCCCCAATTGGAGAATTGAGATAGAAAAACACCGCGAGCGCACAGGGTGAATTAAACCCTGCTCCCACACAAGTCTATGTGTCGGTCCGAGTGCGTGTCCGGAAATGACAACCACAGAATGAGAGACTATTTTTGTGCAAGAGCATATGTGTGTGGTAGGATGCTGACACAGCTTGGGTCCTTTTTTTTTTGCAGTCAGATCCATTTGGCAGAGAGCGCAGAACCAATCAGATAATTGTCCTTGTTTGGCATTGAGTGGACCCATCCGTGGGCCAGTGGGCTGATTATCCAGGCTGGGAATGAGAATGATTGAATAGCGAATTACATCCTAATGAATATATTATGTCACCCCTCAGTTTATCCACACCACGGTGAAATAAAGGGATGAGATCAACATCTGCCCTGATGAGGTGATGAAATTCTACTTCTCTTATCCCCACCACAAAAGCAAGACTAATCGCCATGCAAATGACATTTTCAAACAAGAGGATTGGCGTGACAACAAAGTGAGAATGTGGATGAGACAGAAGCACTGCGGCCCAAGGCTAAGGCAAATCAAAGAAAAATGAAGATGCATAAACAGTCCTTGATGGCCTGGCTCTGAACGCCGACTCTGCGCACGGCTCCCATTTCAAGAAAGGCGAAAGGTTTTCTCCTAGAACAATGCAACGAGAAACAACAACAAAGTCAAGATTTAACGCTAAAATTAGAGCCACACCTCATACTTCGTTTCTTCTCAGAATCCACATAAGAAAATGGTTCTCCACAGAGACAGTTTTCCTTATCAAATCCCCAGAAAGAGATTGTTAGCACTCCTGCAAAAGGCACCGCAGCTGATTTTCAATCATCTGGCACCGCAGGTTTCAGGTCAGCCAGGTCGCCGAGGAGGGACAGTAATACAATAACCCAGTGGCAAGCGCCCGTTTGGACATGTTGCCAAGGGGAGAAGCAAAAGGAATCTAACCATTTTTTAAAGGTCAGTGGGAGGGCCTGTTTAAAGCGTTGCTGTTCAAAAATGACAATCGCCGCTGATGGACACAGTCCGAGATCATCAAGCACCCACGGTTTCTGTGTCCTTGAGGGAACCCGAGGAGGTAGACAACTATCACCGAGACCAGCAGGCCTCTGCTTCCACTGTCCTGTCAACACACATGTGTGTAAGCACCACTAATCCCAGTGCTCACAAGCTGATGGTGGCGGAGGGGGGGGGGACAAAAAACAACCACAAAACAGCCACGGATGGCTTTGATAGCTCAGCCACAGAAGTGGGTGACGCAACAGAGATTAATCGCCCGCCAGGAGGCCCGTATTTCTGATAAACGTAATAAAAAGGAAATCTTAACATTAGATGTTTCTTGCTTGCTTATTTAGGAGTAGTGTGCAATCAATAACTGAGAAAAGCAACATTTACCCCCGATTTTGACGAAACCACCAAAAACTGACGAAAAAGCGACAGAGTGAGATATGAAGAGGGTGCGCCAAAGAACACAAAGAAACCAAATGGCACCAAGTGATTAAAAATGATGCAAGGCTGTCACCAGATGGCCACCATCTTTTCACACTGAAATAATGTGTTTTTCTGCCACATTTATTTTCCGTTGCCTGTATTTATTCCGCGGATAAAATATGGAGTCGCCTCAACAATCAATGATAAAACACGAAGAAAAACACGACTGTTTACTCCCAGAGTAGAATTAGACTTTTGCCTGCAGTGCAGACAGCAGACATACGGGCGCTAACTCGGATGTCTACGACGCGTACGTGCACGGAAATGCGCACGGATACGCCAGCCCTCCGAGTCTGTTTATTTTCCATCTCGCTCAATTCTCACGACTCCTGTGGCAAGCCTGAGGGATCTGTGCTATATTTAAATAATTCACAGGAGTTCGAAATCTCTTCAGGTTGTTTGGTGTTCAAACGCAAATCAAGCAACAGTTTAGTTCATTCGTGCAGGGTGGGCGTCACTGAATCGCTTCCAAAACCGGGGACTTAACTATTTGCTGTTGGCTCAGGTTTAATGTTTGTCTTTGCTGGAAATGTTGGCGTGATCTGACATTTTGCCATGACTATTGGCTCTGACCACAAGTCAGCGCAGGGCAGTCGATGAGAGGGAGACGGATGGACTGCAGAATTATGTGGGATACTTCTGCAGGGATATGCTGGGATGGAGACAAAAGAAATGAAGGAGGCAGCGAGAGGAAAGCGAAATGGAGATAAGCCTTTGCATAGCTTGGCTACTCGCTGTCTCAAGTGTTGATATGCTCTGCTCTGAGCCTCAGGCTTCAGCCTCAGCCGCCTCCTCCTCCACAGCTCCCTGTGTCTCTCCCAGCATGGAGCCCATCTGATCTGCCACACAGGCCTCTGCCAACTCTCATTAAACACTTTGGAGACTTAGACAAAAATACAGATGAGCCTCTCGAGCTTCACACTTTCCTGACGAGAGGTGGGAGCTCGGATACAAGAGTCATTGTGAACAGATACGTGGAGGGTTTTATTACTGAAGAGGCCGTCTGTGTCGGTCCGCGGAGGTCGATATAATCCATGGGTGAAATATGCCTCAGCGACTATACTCTGAAGGAGTCGTGCTACTTTTTGAATGTGGAACAATACATGGCCATCAGCATTTTACCAATAAATACATAAAGGCTCGGCTGGAGGATGCAGAGACAAATTAAAGCCTTCGCATGCCGTCGGTTCCAAATTAAAACTGATTTGTTTCCAGCCAATATTCATGCGGCTCTTATCCCTAAAGGACGAGTTAAGCAAATTTAAGAAGCCATCTCTGCACTTCATAATAGGCTTTCACAGTATAAGCACCTAAAAACTCAATATATTTTTTCTATAAACCATTTCAAAGACCTAATGCTGAGAGCTAAATGCACTAGAGAGAACTAATGATGAAAAAAAAACTTTGTCTAGATAATTAATGAACTCTTGAAACAAGACCAGCATTAAATCATGAAATTTTTAAGTCATAGCTCAAAAACAAAGCCGGTGTAGTAAAAAAAGTTGCCTTTTAAGGCCGACTTAAAAAAAAAAATCCCACTACTTCTGACTCCAAATGTCAGCTACGTCTAAATAAGTAACATCATGTCTATCTGCAGTGTCACAGCTTCCCATGTAATTCATTTTTCTCAAGTTGCCTTCTCCTAAAACGGACTGAGCTATAAGCACGGGGATGAATAAAGTTCTCATCCGGTAACAAGTGATGCATCTGCCAGGCTGCTCTGTCCTGTCGCCCCTTCCTGAGGCAGGTGTGTTAATCATGCTCTTTATTAATTAAAGAGAGGTATACACACAAACGCGTACATAGGGGCAGTGAATCCGTTTGTGTGTGCGTGCTGGGTGGCAAAAGCGACAGGAGCTGTCTGTCGGTTCACCTTCGACTAACTTCAAAGGCACGTCTGAGAGTACACAAGAGTGTCGGTGCCACTCGTGATGGGAAACAACAGCTCATCATTCCCCAAGCTTTGCTGCGGTGGACTTCTTGGCCTTGAGTGGGGGGAGAGAGTGAAGGGGGAACCCCTCTCCCCAGCAGACAGCTGGGGGCTTCACTGATGTTCCCCACAGCAGACAGGTAACGAGTGACAAAAGGGGGCAGAGACGAGCATCTGTTGCCAAACAACAGGGCTGATAGGGGTGCGAGCGGGGTCGCGGTGCTCGGATGTCTCCCATCAAAAGGAGAAAAAATTGAGTTCTTTCTCCCTCAAAATCTCTATAAACTGTCTTCACAGAGTACAATGTAATTTTTGTCACAGCACTCCCAATAGTTGAAATGAAACACTTTCTCTTTGTGGAACAAGAGGAAGATGGAGGGAGGGAGGAAGGGGGTGGGTGGGTTGGCCTAACAATAGCCGCTTGGACTGACATTAATTTCTTTAAGCTCATGAAGGTCAGTATCCCGCTTTGCTGTAGAGGAATGTCAAGCATCCCTGGGCACCTCTCTAATTCAATTACTGGTTGCTCCAACTCCAGTAATTCCAAATCCACCCAGGTCCTCACTCTGACTATGAATCCCTGCTTCCCTTTTGTCTTCCTCCCGCCGTATTCAGGCAGGCCATGTTACTTACAGTCGTGCTTGACATCTAGTGATGTCTTTACATGCTAGATGTGTAAGACAACACCCTGATTCACTGAGGAAGATAACCTCTGTTTTAGACAGGGAAAAGCTGCCAGTGCCAGGGGTGTTGTATTTCCCTCCCTGCTATTTACTGCGTGTGGGAGATTTCTCCTGTGGTCAGCATGGCTGCTGTGCCCCAGCTATACGTCCGCACACTGATCTGTTGGCAGACAAACAGCCAGCTCCTGCGCACACAGTCAGGCTTTCTCTACTTCTTTTTCAGCTTTCCCCGTTCTCTCTCTCTCTCACTCCGGGCTTTGTTCTTGCTTTCCTTACACTGTATCTGATTCCACCTGTCTCTATCCCTGCCTACACCTTACACCTCTTTTTTTTTCTCTCCTAAGCTTGCTCTCTCCCTTGCTATCTCTCCCTTTGTCAGGGGCCTAATGTGGGACTGCAAATGAAGCAGCTTGACTTCCATCTCAGGCTACCAGGGATCAATATGTGTTGCTCACTATCAGGCAGGACACTCTCTGCCTCTCCGATGCTCTCACGAGGGAGGATGGCCAAGCAAATGAAACGCCCTCAACTCCTCGCACGCAAACATCGCACAAAGGCCGACATAATTCAGCTTTTTAGTGCCCGTATTTACTACATAATTTGAGCAGCAAACAATAGTGACAAAATAACGTGGCTGTAACCGTGTCTCCTTAAGCAGACGGGTCTCTGAAAGAAAAGCGGTGTCTGCATACAGTGCAAAAGATAAAGAGGTATGTGAACAAAGTGCGATAATAATAAATCACTTTTAGCATGAAGCCTTACTGTGCAGACTAATAGGCTCTGACGTTGCAGTGTAAGCGGTCTAACTGCAGGAAGCAATAAAGCCTGACATCTAAGAAAAAAAAAAATAGACTGTGTTGGTACAAAAAAGCAGCCAAAATAAAGATGAAGTGATGACTTCTAGATGCAAAAAAATGCAAAAAGGAAGCCACAGGAAGCCAAGCGCCACAGGACAAACAGGGTTGCCTGGGAGTTACCTGGACAGGTGGCCACACAGGCACTTTTCTGGACGTTCTGCCCCTCACAGGATGTGCCTCCATTCAGTGGCGTGGGGTTGGTGCAGCTCCGACTCCTCTTCTGCCAGCCACGCCCACACACTGCACTGCAGGACGACCAGGTGGTCCACGTGGACCAGCCACCGTTGACTGTCAGACCAGTGCCAAGGGAGGAGGGGGGGATATGGAGGGGTGAGGTAAAGGGGGAGGAAGGTTGTGAGGGAGGGAGGGTTGGATGAATGAAGGGACAGAGCAGCCAGGATTACCCGACATGCACTAAGGAAAAATAGGCGCGCTGCACTAGAATAATCAAGACTGCTGTTACGCTCTTTGCAAAGTGAACAAACGGAAGCGCGAGAGCAAAAGGGTCGCTGGAGCTACACGAACTGCAGTGGAAACAAAATGGCTTCAACAGGGAGCAGAAAAATCGGACGGCGCTTTCCCAGTTTCCCCTCTGAGGAAGGCTGCGAAATAACTCGTGGGCACGTTACATATCAGAATCTCCCCTCTGAATTTCACAGAGATAATACGAGGATATAACAACATAATTGTAAAGCCATTCAATTTAAAACCACACTGTCACAATCATACATGCGTAAAAGCAACTAAACCAACAACAACGTCTCCTCCTGGGAACTGCCAACACACTGCTGAGATATAAATGCATCACGGTTGTTCCGCAAATTCGGACTGCGTCCTTCACACGTCCGCCACTGATTTCACACCACAACATATCATTCAACGAAATCAAGTAGGCTTATCTTTGAATTGGAGAGACCACCGCTGTATAATTCATTCCTCTTATTTTTTTTTAAGACGAGAAACTCAAAAAACTCTGAATTTCTGTTATTACCGCCACTTGTCAGAGCAAACTTTAACCATCCATTGCAACTTAATTGGTACTATGTCTCTCAATCATGCCAGGCGATTACATCAAATCATCCTGTATCTACCGTGTTTCCTCAGACATTCCTGATTTATTGACTTGAACAGCACTGTCGTTCTCTCTCTGTACATACTCCCTTCCTAATTTCCCCCTAACACTCCCCTCTGCTCGTCGTGGCTGAATCATTTCCTTGCCCTCTCTTTGCGATTGATTGCCCGCCACGGCGAGGTAAATTGCCAGGCAACTCGGCCCCTGATTACCTCTTAGAACAGAGTGCAGTCACACCAGCCAGGCCTCGTTAAAATGCATCTCTGGCCCCCTGTTGAACCCCCTTTGAAAAGTAGCAGTTATTATGACTTGCTACATATAGCTAGATTAACTAGCACAGTAGACTGTGGTACCTTCAGCTAACTGATTTTTTTTCTCTTGAACTCAGAGCAACGCAAGTGAAAAGCAGCAAGAGTTTCTTTTGTTTGGTTGAGGTTTTTTGTTTAGCTAAAAACCCTCTATCATCCTAAACCAGTGCTGCGACAGTAATAAACGTCATCAAGCAAACAGTGTGATGGAAACAAATAAAATTGCACATGCAAGCAACTCAGCAATTTGTTCCCAACTTTCTGGGTCTTTGCGTGGAAATCATTGTTTGACAACACAAGAAAGGCAAAAAAAAAAAAAAAAAAAAAGAGTGCGTATGGTCATGCCTTCACAGTTAATTCAGCCCTAGATTGCTTCTTTACATCTTTTAACAACAAGCTAATCAATTAGGAATAATTGTGCTTCTTTAGTTTTATGCTGGAGGCTTAGAGGAATGTATGATAATGTGTTCTGACTGCATGCTCCAAATTAACACATTTTTTGTGTGAAAATGCACGACTCAATTTGCAGCTGCATTTAAAGCCATAACGCTCGGACCCCCTTTGGGTTTGTTGAATTACAAAAAAGAAGAGAGAATTAACCTAATAAAACGAAAGCTTTTTGACAAAGATCTGAAACACACTTGGCTCACTTACTGTTTATTATGCTTTTATTGTTAAATATTGATTTGATGATTATGTTCATTAACTAAAATCATGCAAACACTTTTTCTCTCACTCGAATTCATCTAAATTGGTGCACAAAGACTCTAAAACCACATTCAGGTCATGTTTTCTTAATGGGATTTCATCCTAAAAGCCAAAATTCAATGAGGATTTATACAGACGGGCATCTTCCACATATTTTTAAAAGTCCTCATAGTTTTCTTTTGAGACAAATGTTATTTTTCCACCATACAGCAAGTTTACATTATACAACTATTCATCTTAACATAATTTCATGATAAGATATAAAGTCATATGAAAAGATACCGATTCAAAGGACTCCATGAATTCCTGTGAAAAACTAAGTACACCCAATGATTCAGTCACTGAAACACCTTTAGCAGCAGTAACTTTACATAATTGTTTTCTGTATGACTTCATCAGTCTCGCCTACATGTTATAGACTTGCAGCTCTCCTCTGGATCATTGTCCCGTGCCATGATCTAATTCAGGCCAAGCTTTAGCTGTCAGACAGATGGCTTGTATATATTATTTTGGTATACAGAGAAGTTCCTGCTTGACTCAATGACTGCACGGGTTTCAGGTCCTGTGGCTGTAAAGCAAGTCCAAAACATTACCCCTCCACCACCGTGCTCAACAGCTAGTAGGAGGTATTTGTGCTGATAACCTGTGTTTGCTTTTCACTATATGTGGCGTTGTGCATTATGACCAAACATCATTGATCTAAAGAACATTGTTGCAGAGGTCTTGTGGTTTGGTCGTGCTGCCATACTCTTTTTCACTTTTATGAGCCTTTTTTCCCAGTCTTTCTTTAATTATACTGACTGCAGAATCTGATATGTAGCTCTTGAATTAAAAAAAAAGAAGAAGTTTTTCTCTCTTCTCATTACACAATCTGACCTTGGGCTGAATTTATTGGGACGTCCACTCCCAGGAAGACTCTGTGTTAACACACCTGCATGTTCCAGACCAGCAAACTGTCAGAGGTTCTGCTTTTATTGAGGCGCTCACACTTGCTGATGGTCCTTTAATTAAGTGCATTTGATTAGCAGCACCTGGCTGCTAATTACCCTATAACAGCATTAAGGGTGTACTTAGTTTTTCCACAGGACTGAATAGAGTCCTCATTTTGCATTATTATGAGTCAGTGGATTATGTTTAGCGATCACTAATGCCATCCTCGTCTATCCTTCACTACTTAATTTACGAGTATTTATCTATTTACCGCCTTTTATTTTTGATATTGCTTTATTTGAACTGCAACGGCACCATCATGGAGCTGTTACCATGTTTGGCACATTTCATTTTTTGGTTGAATGGTCAAACAGCAAATTCAAAGGCTTTAAAAACCCCACCGTACATCCCAAGTTGCCCATTCTGTGGAATTTATTTGTAAACCTAATCTATATAACTTCCTATTACAATATTACACAGGTATCAAAAAACAAGAACGATTTAAATATAGAAAATGAACAGGTAGTGCCTCTTATTTGTGGCATGCACTGTGTTTTCTGAGCTGATGTGTCAGATAATAAACAAGAACTGCTGCTCTGCCCCTACAGTGCATCGCAGTATCATCTTTCTCTGGCAGCCTTAACTAAAAAAAATAAATAAAAAGAACACACCCCGTGTCAGGCATTGTGTCACATTATCCATTTATTATTCTCAATGTTGTTTTCATCAATCGTTCCCTCGTGATTTCCATCTTCTGTTCGCGTGGAGCTGAGAATTACGCCAGGCTGTAATGTATTCAAAACTTTTGTAGTGCCAGTAGCCGTGGAACCCTCTGTGATAGTAAATATGCTGTTTCTCTGCATTTTAATAAAGGCCAGTCTGCTTATCAAGCCAAGTCATTATTTACAGTTTGCTGTTAATTCAATTTCTCTTCTCATACTGGATCCACTACAGAGGAGGAAGATGGCAGCCTCGACATCAGAGACTGCCAGCTTTGGCAGAATGGCTGCCAGTAACATTTTAAGTTGTGGTAATTAATGTGCAGATACACCACTCTCTCTTTATGTAGTGATTTATGAAAGTGTAATTCTTGCGCTGCTGAAAAACAGAGCTGATGTATGCAATTTGTCACCATATGTCAAATATGTGAAACACAGTGTAATAATAAAAAACTACACTGTAAACTCTGAATGTAACAGTATGAAGAGCTGACGGGAGACTTGCGCCCACACATCTTCCGTGCAGCAGCATGCAAAGGTTAATGTGGAAATGTGGGGCAAGGGAAGCGGCGTGCAAGCTTAAAAGGATTCATCCGAGCAGTTTTCTGCGTTTGTATATTTGGAAGCTCAATCGAGCCCGGACCCCGGCACTAGTCTCTGTGCACAGTTTTGACATCTGCTGAAAGAAGTCGTCACCTACCATAGACAAGGATCGCGGCAGAGGTGCTTTTGCGGCGAGCGACGATGTTTTTGGCCACGCACGTGTAGTTGCCGGTGTCGGCCAGCCGGGCTTTTTTGATGACGAGATTATGGTCGGGCGTGATGACAAAATTGGGGTCACTCGCTGGGTCGATCACATCCTCGTTTCTCTGCCACTCCACCTGAAAACAGATTTCAGCGGTCAAAATCCACTGCAACTCGACAGACAGCAGCTCGCCACCACCCCATACAGCTCTACAGTGGCCAGACATGATGTGGATGAGAGACTTCTAC